ATGGTTTACTATGCAGTTGTAGCTTTTTTCAGTTTATTGAAAGTGAACGAGAAATGGGTTTGTCCAGCTTCAATCTGACATAATGCACTGCATACCAAGTCTTCAGAAGTCATTTGACTCGTGTGAGAAACAGGCTGAAATTTGAAGGAATGGTTCACCCATTCTGTTATCTACTCCCCCTCCTGATGATCCAAATCAGTAATCCATTCATCTTTGATACACAAATGAAGAATTGAGTCCATCCATTGAAAGTCCATTACATCAAAAATTTGAGGCTTCAAACAGTTCATAAAGGATCCTAAAAGAAATCCATATAAATTGAGCGATTCTAGAGACATGATTGGTTTATCTAATATAGAGATTTAATTTAGGCTTTTATTCACACATAGACATTGATAAACTGTACTTGCTTGACCTGTAAAATCAAATCGCATTGGTTCTCAGGTTCTCAGGCTTCAAGCAGGTAGTTTGAACTATCATTTAACATACTTGATGTGACTTATGTATATATGGGTTGACCAATGTTTATATGGGAATAAAAGCCTAAATGAAATACATTCATGATATAAAGTGTATCATGTCTCTTCAGAAGACTTACATAAATATACATGTCTTAAAGGGCTAGTTCACCCAAAAATTTAAATTTACTCGCACTGAAGCCATCCTAGGTGTATAAGACTTTCTTCTTTCAGACGAATCCAATTGGAGTTATATTAAAAAAATGTCCTGGCTCTTCCAGGCTTTATAATGGCAGTGAATGGGTGTTACTATTCAATAGTCTAATAGAAGTCCAATAAAGTGCATTCATCCATCAAAAAAGTGTCCCACACGGCTCCAGGGGTGAATAAAGGCCTCCTGAAGCGAATCAATGAGTTTTTGTAAGAAAAATATCCATATTTAAAACTTTATAACCCCTAATCTTTAGCTTCTGCTAACTGTCATACGCGTGTTGACGAGAGAGTGGAGTTCTCTTTACAAAATTACAAAATATTATCATATTTCCATAAGGATGTACCATTTTATCACTAAATTAATGTCAGCCATTTTTAAAAACCAAGGAGAGGGAGTGGCCATGGTGAAACATCCAATCATTTGGTATCTCTGAAAACAGACATGTTACAACTGTGACATGTGAGGTCTCAGAGAAATTCACTAAAATATAATGTCCACTACAGAGGCAAAAACTCCATAGCTGGGTCTCAGGAGGTTAGATCAAAATCCTCCAACGTTTTTCTTTACAAATCCTCATTTTGTACTTCTAATTCGTGATCAGTGTTTTGTCCTCTGCACTTCCGTGTTCGTCACCGCATTCGTTCCACATCATCCTCTGCCCTCTCATGTACATGCATACGATAGTTAGTGGAAGCTCGAGATTACGGTTTATAAAGTTTTAAATATGGATATTTTTCTTACCAAAAACACATCGATTCGCTTCAGGAGACCTTTATTTATTCACACCCCGGAGCCGTTTGGTGCACTTTTTTATGATGGATGGACACACTTTATTGGACTATTGAATAGTGACACCCATTCACTGCCATTATGAAGCTTGGAAGAGCCAGGACATTTTTTTATATAATTCTGATTGTATTCATCTGAAAGAAGAAGGTCATAAACACCTAGGATGGTTTGAGAGTGAGTAAATCATGGGGTAATTTTCATTTTTGGATGAACTATCCCTTTAAGAGTTTAAAGGGGTCATATGATGCTTTTTTAAAGATAATTATTTTGTGTATTTGGTGTAACAGAATATGTTGACATGCTTTAATGTTCAAAAAACACATTATTTTTCAAATACTGTACATTATTGTAGGTCCTCTATGCCCCACCTCTCTCAAACACTTAGTTTTCTACAAAGTCCCTCCTTCCGACAAGCGCAGTCTGCTCTGATTGGCCAGCTGACCCAGTGCATTGTGATTGGCCGAACACCGCAAGCACTCGTCGGAAATGTAACGCCCCTTACCATAATCGTGAGCTTCATCTTTCAAAATAAATGTAAAGACAGAGCCCAAAAGGGGAACCGCGTGACAGACACAGTGATGCGAGTGTAAATAACTGATGACAGAATTTTCAAATTTATGGTGAACAATTGGGTTATTCTCTGAAAATCTTAACACCCGCAATGTCAGATTCATGAACATCAGAGTGAAGAATCAGAGTGATCCAGTTCTCAAGTTCAACTCAATGATTAAATCATAGAAGTTAACAGCTCACTAGAGAGGAAGATAAGCAGTAATGACAAAAATTCTGACATGTTTGTGACACGAAGCCATCATATGACTACTTGGATTAGAAAATACATGTTGTATACCTCACTCTTATGAGACTTTTATAGTGCTTTTTGTCGTTTTCGAAACTTCAAATCACATAACTGCGTGGAGAGGAGCAGCCAATACATTATTTTAAATTTCTCTTTTTGTGTTCCTCGAATGTAAGAAAGTCATGGTTTATTATGACATGAAAGTGAATAAATAAAGACAGAATTTTTATTAAAAATGTTGTGAAAGGTTGCATCAGGTACACCGTAGCTTACCGGTTTTAGTTCGTAGCGAGGTGAAACATACTCTACCAATAAAGCTGTGGTAGCGGCAAAGGAGGAAGAGAACATGGTGACGATGTGCCCGACTGAGAGAAGACAGGAAATGTGGCTCAGTTAAAGTGACTTGCCATTTCCTGGTTGCCTGACAGAAGTACAGACAGCAAGAGAGCAGAAAAGAGCAGAGAAGTAAGCCAGTGGAGGCGTCATGATGGATTCTGAATGATTCTGAGGCTTACAGGTGGACACATTCTGGACTTTGTAGAAGCAAATTGGTGGGGGCTCTGCAGAGACTGGGGTAACAAGAGCCCCTCCACCGCACATCACCTGCCATGAGACATGGACTGGCCCCTAAATGAACAGCAATTGGTAAAGTTGGTTTCTTTCCACTTTGAGCAAGTTTAATGTTATTTTACAGTTACTTTCTGCTGTAGTGCACATTGTTTTGGTATACCAGAAGCCCTCTGTATGTTGCTATTGGATCGTGTGTACATATCAGAGAGTGTTTGATGAAGCTGCTGACAGCCCAACTTCCCCTATATGAGGGGGTGGATCAAGCCGCATCATTTAAGCTAAGCATAGCTCCTCGCTCTTTAAAATGTTTTCCACCAGCCGCTTTCCAATGACAGTCACATGTGAGGGTTTGTTGGTGTTGGTACCCATGTGACTCATTCTTGTCAGAAGTTTACAGTAAATGTTATTGTGATCTCTCCATCAAAGATGAATTATATCAGTATTTCCTTTTATTCACTGATGATGACTGAAAAAATACAAGTCAGAGTTATGATTCCACTGCATTCTGCTTACATTGCATTCAAGGTCAGTGTATGCGTTTTCTTGGAATCAGACCTATGCATTGCTATATAAACATTCTACAAAGACTTTAGCATATTAAATTCCCCATAGGACATGTGATATGTTTAACCAGGCCTTCTGTTTCAGTTAATACTGGTTCATGAGATCAAATAGCAGGTCTGCAGTATGACTGAAGGTTTATGCACATTTGCTGGCATTAGATCCAGGTGTGCATCAAAGTTGTTCCTTCGCACTCATCCATGACCAGCTTTCCTTGCTCCAGCTCATTCTTGGCTAGTGGAAACATGACAGAATTTCACGCTTCACAGCTCAGAAAAAACGGACTTCTAGCAACAATATGATTTGAAGAGCGATAATGGAAATTTCTTGTAGATTAGGTTGCAATGGTGGCGATATTAAGATCTGTTTATTAAAGAAACAAATACAATTACAGATAATTGTTGGCATATGGCAAACATTGTACACTGTACAATGTACACTGCGAATGTGACCCTGGACCACAAAACCTATAAGTCATAAGGGTCAATTTTTCGAAATTGACATTTATACATAATCTGAAAGCTGAATAAATAAGCTTTCCATTGATGTATGGTTTGTTAGGATAGGGCCATATTTGGTCGAGATATAACTATTTGAAAATCTGGAATCTGAGGGTGCAAAAAAAATCAAAATATTTAGAAAATCGCCTTTAAAGTTGTCCAGATGAAGTTCTTAGCAATGCATATTACTAATCAAAAATTAAGTTTTAATATATTTACAGTAGGAAATTTACAAAATATCTTCATGGAACATGATCTTTACTTAATATCCTAATGATTGTTGGCATAAAAGAAAAATCAATAATTTTGACCCATACAATGTTTTTTTGGCTATTGCTACAAATATACCCCAGCGACTTAAGATTGGTTTTGTGGTCCAGGGTCACAAATGTGAAAAAAAATGACATTTAGGTGTTCGACAACTTACTGTTACTGGGGCAGTACAACTTTCGGACAACCTTATCTTTGCCTAAAATGTGCATATTAGTGCCTTCTTTTATATTTGCACAAAGTCTAACGGAAGACATAATAGATTGTGCGAGTGGTACTTGCTTTTGTCCCATTGACAAAACCACTGTCACTGCATTTATTGCATTATGAATTCACAGTATCCAGTGTTACACTGCAGAAGTTTGCATACTCTGTAGTTTCCTGTTGTGTTAACACAAGTGTGTGCATGCTCTGATTTTGGAGATAGTGCCCAGTCATGCTCTTGGTGTAAAGGCGTACTACGCATGTGCAAAACCACATAATTTCCAAGTTGAAAAGTAGTTGGGTTGCCTGAGAGACTATTGACTGTACTAGTTGATAAAAGTTCAGAATAATCTGGCTTCGGGTTCACCTGACCCCGATAAGATGCGTTTCTTAAGGGGCTTCCACAAAAGATGTGTTCAAAAACAGCTGGACTGAGCACAATGGATGGTTTTAAAAAGTGGATGTTTTCAATTTAGATGCTAAAGGTTTACGCATAGACACACAGAGATCAGCAGTTTGGATTACCTAAAGTGTGAGTTTGTTTGTAACCTAGACCTCTCTGACCATTGGGTTGTCCTGTCAAAAAATGTTTTATAGCCTCTTACTCTTTTCTTTTATCTCTCTTTGTCTTTCAGAAAGATGTCGTTTACCTGCAGCAGTGGTTGGAGGCATTCGTGGCGTCTTTTGAGAAGGCCATTGATGTGCAGTCAACGGAGCCTCGCCGGTGAGTCAGTTACATGCTGACCTATCAAAATGTCACAGACGCAGGGAGTTGATCTGTAGGTGGTCAGGTCCAGATGGACCTCTAACTATGATGGTATTTTAAGGCCTATATATGTTTAATTGCTCATTTAATGGTTGGTGAGTTTGAAAAATCTTTACAATCTTTTAAATACTTTCATCTCATCCTGCAGATCTGATGTATGTACACCAGATGTGCACACCAGATCTGTGATCTAAAGATTAGCACATATACTTTAGGTATATTGAGCTGTGGTGTTGCAGATGAAGGATTAATTCCAGCCCGATATTGTGGTTCAGCTAGGGTTGCCCATTTGAAATTTAGAAATAAATATATATTAAATATGGTATATAATATTATATATCATATAAAAAACAACTTAAGGCTGTCTGGAAAAGATTTTGAGGAACACTAAAACAGCAAACTGTGATGCAATAGCCGAAGCAATAGCCAAAAAATTGGAGCAGACGAAACATTAATTTGTACTCTATGTAAATAACCCCAAGGTCCAAGTCCAAGACATATGTTCAATGACTGAAAACAGTGTTTTGACTTTTTTGATGTCTATTCATCAGTGCTTTATCAAAACAAAATGAAATCAAAACAAAACAAACAGAAAGCAAAAACAAACAAAAAGCAAACAAATCAACCTTCTTTTTTGTCTGCAGGCTGGAGGAATGGAGCGTCGATGTCCCGCTCCTCCCCAAGGAGGTATTGGTGTTCCTCAGCACCCAGCTGTGGCACAGCGCCCTCCACATGTCAGGGCAGGATCAGAGCAGCACTGCTCCACACCCACTGCTCCTCATCAAGTTCTTCATCATCATCTGCAGGTCAGTACCCACTGAGCACTGAGTGAACTCCATCATTCTCTTTGCGATAATGCCTCAGTGACTCAAACCCCTGTTGATAAGCTGCTATGTTTGAACAGCAGGGATAACGCAAGGCTGCAGTTTATGCTAAATTGCATAGCTGATGTGGATCTTCCCTGAGTGTACAATAATACCATTGCTGATGTGAATCTCTGCTTGCAGAAATATGGAGAATATAGACTCTGAAAAGACCCCGGGGTTTGTGTTTGAGACGATCAAGCTCCTAAACTTCTGTTTGACTCAGGTGAGAAGTCAAAAAGTCTGTGAAACCGTTTCATAGTGGTTTGCACCCCAGCTGATACATTGAGCCACGGTGCTCATGTGGGAAATGCAAGTTTGAGTTTTGTTTACATAATTTCCTAATCCAGTTCCCCTTGTATTACTTTTTTCTTGTCACCTCTACATTGTTCTATCAACAGAAGAAAGCCACAAAAAAGTTCAATGTTATTCTAGTGTTTTGAAGCTAGTTCAAATTTATGTAGCATTTTTATTTATTCTAAACATACCAATGAAACGTTTGTTCACTTAATTGTATATTACTCTGCAGCTATTTTTATTACACGTGCTGTTGTAGGTTTCTGAACTAACAGAACAGGTTTAATCAGAAAGCTTTGGGTGGAAGACCTCTGCTTTATTCAAAGGAATGTTTGTGTGTTAACAAGCCAAAAACGGATAGGTTTGCATATTGTGTAAGACTCAGTCGAGTGTGTTTATGTATGTGTGTTACAGCTGAAGAAGCAGCCAGATGATCAGAGCACTTTACAGTCGGTGGCACAGCATGGCCTGCTGCTGTGCGAAAATCTCTTTGACCCTTATCAGACGTGGAGGAGACGGCAGGCAGGGTGAGTGTGTGTCTGTGAGTTGGAGTCCACCATTAAGAGCGGCAAGCTCTGTCTCAGCTCCACTTCAACAGTTAATAACACACCCAGTCCGCACCTCTCAGCTCTCAAGTCTTCTTACGCTCAGCTGTCTGAACTACACACAGCATAAACTTCCCACATCATGAGTGTATCTTTTCAAGGAGCACTGTTCTGCCCATCCACTAATGTGCAGGTTTGAATAGATGAATAGATTATTAGATTAATGAACCATTTGTTAAATATTTATTAATTGCTAATGTACGTATTTGGCAAACAAATTGAGTAGTGGTATGAAAACATGGTGATATAATTTTACTTACTATTATTGTTGTTGTTGTTGTTATATTTAATAATTTATTATTTTTCGAGATTTATGCTTAAAACAAGAAAAAAATGCCAGTGGGTAAGAAAAATAAACATAATTCATACCAACACCATGGTGGTATATGAGTCGATTAATCAACTTTGTACCATGATATATCAAAATACCATGGTATTTCGACCTGATAACATAATTGTACTGATATTATTATTTAATAATTTATTATTTTTTGGAGATTTATGCTTAAAACAAGAAACAAGTTGCCATTGGGGTGAGAAAAATAAACATAATTCATGTAAACACTGGATGAGTAGATTAATCAACTTGTACCATTAGATATATTGGTGTTGTTCATTATTATTAAATAATATTTTGAACTCTTTGGTAGATTTATGCTTAAAACATAAAGATATATTCTTGACTATAGATTAAGAAGATGATTTACTGCAGTGTACTGTAGCTTATTGCTTTAGTAGTAAGTAAGATCAAAGTAAATAAGCAAGTATTTCCATTAAGGGCTTTGATTTGTGTGTTTTTTAGGGAGGAGGTCAGTATGCTGGAGAGAAGCAAGTATAAATTCTCCCCCCTTGTTCTACCAGAGGAGCTTCCTTTGCTCTTCCACGGTATGTCACCCACTCCTGCCTTCTGACACAATCTTTAACCTCCATTTACTCCCATCTTCACGTCCCGGGAGATATCGCACATCCTGCCTCCCAGGAGACAAAATGTTGTTTGTAAAGAAAGGGCGATCTGATCCCTATAGTATTAATCCATAGTGATTCAGTGCTGTGATTTGTCATCTTATTTGCCTTTAAATGTTCTTCATGTAAATACAGCGGAGTTGTCCTTTTTTAAGTGATAGATTATGACTTGTATCTTGTTTGTGTCATGCTCTGTTTAGACATGTACTTGTGTGGTAGCTTGTAGAAGCAACCTTTCATGTAGATATAGGGAGAGATCTACATTTTGTTTATGGATGTTTAATATAATGTACTGTATAGGACAGTTAAGACAGAAATAAGAGAGAGGAATGGGATTAGGACATGATGCAGGCTAGATTTGAACTGGACTCCTCATAAGCGCACAATTTAACAAATCTGAGAAGCAGGACTATGTTGCAGCCTGCAGGCAATGGCTAAAACAAAAATCCTGACAGTGATGCAAGCTTTGTTCAAGTGATTATTAGCTCTGGAGCAACTTCCACACCTATATGTTAGTAGGCAAGCTGTAGTGGGTCCAAGTAGCCTGTGGTCATGAGGCGAGGTAAACTAGTTTCTTGTTCTGAAAAGTTGTTTTTCAGCAAAAGGTTTCTCCACATCATGTTTATGATGTAATGATGTGTATATGTTTGTGTGAGGTTTGTTAGGTTTTCTCATCTACTCAGCATGTCCTTAATCCAAAAGTAGGGTGGCCATATGAACACCCACTTCAGGGTTTTGCAGCAGAATTTTGTGTTTTTGTGAGTGGGACGGAAAATCCCCCTAAAATGAAAGCTCAGGTCCACACTCTGGGTTCACATGTTGGTGTTTTGTTTTACTTTCTTATTTGTATGTGTTTGTATATTTATTTATTTATTTGTTTGGCTTTGCTTTGCTTTGTTTTACTTTTGTTTTTTATATATTTATTTGCTTTGCCTTGCTTTGTTTTGTTTTATTTATTTATTTTAATGCTGTCCAAATTAGTGCGTTAACGCATACAATAATTTTTTTTCAGTTTAATGGCGTAAAAAATATTTAACACAATTAACACAGGGGCGGAGCTATGGTTGGCCTCCCCACTCACAACTGCTGCTACGGTCTCTCTCTTTTTTTTAACAAGAATTGCGTTTATTTAGACGCAGAACGTCTTTACGGCTACATCAGATGGGAGATTTTTCAGATGCGCACTCCAAATTCACCTCAGCGCCAGGCGCTAGTTAAACGAGTGCGGAAATGAGGAGCTCAGATGAGATGTTGTCAGGCTATATGTCAGTAAAAATTAATTTTCCTGTCCTGTCAGCCATTATACTGTGCTCGTAGCACGTGCTCTTCAAGTGCAAGCACAAATGCGCCCGCATACTGTATATCATTTCATATTGAAGCGCAAAAGAAACTGCGAGCATGCAATGTCGTGCTTATGTTGTCAGTTAAGTCGTGAAGTTACCAAAAAATGCGATTAAAGCTGCCTTTAAACTGTGCATGTATGTAAATATTTGTTACATATGAGTGACATTTAAGAACATGTCTCTGAAATGCAGTGGTTTTCAAAACTGTCCTGGAGCAGCCCAGCACTGTCTCCCTTATCTAAATCGTCAGCTCATTAGTAAAGACTTTAAGACCTGAAGCATGCCAGAAAAGATAAAGAGAGAAAATATGATGCTTGTCAGATCTGCGTCATGTTCAGCAGAGGTAGCTCTTAAAGTAATAGCAGCCAAAAAACCTAATAACCCAGCTGCTGTGATGTCTGTTAATCAAAGAACAAAAGAAAAAAAGAGGAAATCAATAACTTTTGTAGCTTTAAGGATTCATCTATATTTAATTTAGAATTTAGTGTTTAATAACTTTATTATTTTTCTTTATATTTCCTACTTGCCGAAGGGCACAGGTAGCTAAATATGACATTTGTTATAATGGGTTTATGTGAAGATTGTTTTAAGTTCACTTGAATTAGAAGTTATGTTTTAAAGTCTAATAAATGTTAATAGCTCTCAATTGTACTGTAATGTTGAATGGCTATAGTCAATGGTTAAATATTAGGGGGAAAACTATTTCATAGAGACATAAGTAGTATTGGTATCAGTGATACATACTGGCCTTCAGTCATAAAAAAAGATGCCACTAAACAAATATTAAAATAAATACTGTCTTTGTTGTTTCTACGTTAATTTGAAGATTGCATGTGAAATTACTGCAATATAAAAGTATATTTAAAAACTTTAATGTTAGGTGGGATTAATCGCGATTCATTTCAGAAGAAATGTGTGATTAATTTTTTTAATCGATTTACAGCACTAATTTTTTTGTTTTGTTTTGGTGTTTATTATTTCTTTCTTGTAGCTTCAGTAAGTACAACAACAAAATACTTAAGTCCTGAGCTGGTTAATTCTGACTAGTCTTTGAGTTTCAAGTTTGATCTTTGTTCATTTCAAGCTTCTGGTGTTTTTCTATGGTAGGCAGTTCCCATTTCATGGCAGTTCCTTTTTAAGGGATAGTTCACCCAAAAAAACCTCCATTTACTCCCATCTTCACGTCCCGGGAGATATCGCACATCCTGCCTCCCAGGAGACAAAATGTTGTTTGTAAAGAAAGGGCGATCTGATCCCTATAGTATTAATCCATAGTGATTCAGTGCTGTGATTTGTCATCTTATTTGCCTTTAAATGTTCTTCATGTAAATACAGCGGAGTTGTCCTTTTTTAAGTGATAGATTATGACTTGTATCTTGTTTGTGTCATGCTCTGTTTAGACATGTACTTGTGTGGTAGCTTGTAGAAGCAACCTTTCATGTAGATATAGGGAGAGATCTACATTTTGTTTATGGATGTTTAATATAATGTACTGTATAGGACAGTTAAGACAGAAATAAGAGAGAGGAATGGGATTAGGACATGATGCAGGCTAGATTTGAACTGGACTCCTCATAAGCGCACAATTTAACAAATCTGAGAAGCAGGACTATGTTGCAGCCTGCAGGCAATGGCTAAAACAAAAATCCTGACAGTGATGCAAGCTTTGTTCAAGTGATTATTAGCTCTGGAGCAACTTCCACACCTATATGTTAGTAGGCAAGCTGTAGTGGGTCCAAGTAGCCTGTGGTCATGAGGCGAGGTAAACTAGTTTCTTGTTCTGAAAAGTTGTTTTTCAGCAAAAGGTTTCTCCACATCATGTTTATGATGTAATGATGTGTATATGTTTGTGTGAGGTTTGTTAGGTTTTCTCATCTACTCAGCATGTCCTTAATCCAAAAGTAGGGTGGCCATATGAACACCCACTTCAGGGTTTTGCAGCAGAATTTTGTGTTTTTGTGAGTGGGACGGAAAATCCCCCTAAAATGAAAGCTCAGGTCCACACTCTGGGTTCACATGTTGGTGTTTTGTTTTACTTTCTTATTTGTATGTGTTTGTATATTTATTTATTTATTTGTTTGGCTTTGCTTTGCTTTGTTTTACTTTTGTTTTTTATATATTTATTTGCTTTGCCTTGCTTTGTTTTGTTTTATTTATTTATTTTAATGCTGTCCAAATTAGTGCGTTAACGCATACAATAATTTTTTTTCAGTTTAATGGCGTAAAAAATATTTAACACAATTAACACAGGGGCGGAGCTATGGTTGGCCTCCCCACTCACAACTGCTGCTACGGTCTCTCTCTTTTTTTTAACAAGAATTGCGTTTATTTAGACGCAGAACGTCTTTACGGCTACATCAGATGGGAGATTTTTCAGATGCGCACTCCAAATTCACCTCAGCGCCAGGCGCTAGTTAAACGAGTGCGGAAATGAGGAGCTCAGATGAGATGTTGTCAGGCTATATGTCAGTAAAAATTAATTTTCCTGTCCTGTCAGCCATTATACTGTGCTCGTAGCACGTGCTCTTCAAGTGCAAGCACAAATGCGCCCGCATACTGTATATCATTTCATATTGAAGCGCAAAAGAAACTGCGAGCATGCAATGTCGTGCTTATGTTGTCAGTTAAGTCGTGAAGTTACCAAAAAATGCGATTAAAGCTGCCTTTAAACTGTGCATGTATGTAAATATTTGTTACATATGAGTGACATTTAAGAACATGTCTCTGAAATGCAGTGGTTTTCAAAACTGTCCTGGAGCAGCCCAGCACTGTCTCCCTTATCTAAATCGTCAGCTCATTAGTAAAGACTTTAAGACCTGAAGCATGCCAGAAAAGATAAAGAGAGAAAATATGATGCTTGTCAGATCTGCGTCATGTTCAGCAGAGGTAGCTCTTAAAGTAATAGCAGCCAAAAAACCTAATAACCCAGCTGCTGTGATGTCTGTTAATCAAAGAACAAAAGAAAAAAAGAGGAAATCAATAACTTTTGTAGCTTTAAGGATTCATCTATATTTAATTTAGAATTTAGTGTTTAATAACTTTATTATTTTTCTTTATATTTCCTACTTGCCGAAGGGCACAGGTAGCTAAATATGACATTTGTTATAATGGGTTTATGTGAAGATTGTTTTAAGTTCACTTGAATTAGAAGTTATGTTTTAAAGTCTAATAAATGTTAATAGCTCTCAATTGTACTGTAATGTTGAATGGCTATAGTCAATGGTTAAATATTAGGGGGAAAACTATTTCATAGAGACATAAGTAGTATTGGTATCAGTGATACATACTGGCCTTCAGTCATAAAAAAAGATGCCACTAAACAAATATTAAAATAAATACTGTCTTTGTTGTTTCTACGTTAATTTGAAGATTGCATGTGAAATTACTGCAATATAAAAGTATATTTAAAAACTTTAATGTTAGGTGGGATTAATCGCGATTCATTTCAGAAGAAATGTGTGATTAATTTTTTTAATCGATTTACAGCACTAATTTTTTTGTTTTGTTTTGGTGTTTATTATTTCTTTCTTGTAGCTTCAGTAAGTACAACAACAAAATACTTAAGTCCTGAGCTGGTTAATTCTGACTAGTCTTTGAGTTTCAAGTTTGATCTTTGTTCATTTCAAGCTTCTGGTGTTTTTCTATGGTAGGCAGTTCCCATTTCATGGCAGTTCCTTTTTAAGGGATAGTTCACCCAAAAAAATGAAAATTCTGTCAAACAACAATGGACCACATTGACTTTAATTGTATGGGGAAAACAATAATAAAAATTCAGAATATCGTCTTCTAGTAAATGCGTACAGGTTTGGAAAGGTGTGAAAGTGAGTAAATGATGACAGAATTTTCATTTTTGAATAAACTTTCTCTTTAACAAAAATATGTTTTTGTGCCTTAAAATGTTAAAATAATGACAATTGCACAAACAATGCTCAGCTTTAAGATTCTTGTGACTAAATGACTGGTTACACCCACAGACTACCTACAAGAGAGTGAACTAATCCCAGAGCCGCTCGTGGTGAGGCTGGTGCATCTTCAGGGAGCTGTAATCAGTGGATGCAAGGTAAATTAGACTCTCTGGACCTCCTTTCATTGACATGTATTAACGCTGACCACATACCTCACTACATCAGTGTGTAATGTGCTAACGTTTTATGTGTGTGTTTCAGAGAAACGGCCTTCTCTCCATCACCCCCCAGGCTGTGAAGGACCTCATGTCTGTGCTGCGTTTCTGGTGCCTCACTCCTGCCTCATCCCCACAAGAGCCCAAGGACCCTCGGCTGCTCAAAATGACCCTGCGGTGCCTGACTGTAATGATCCACCTTCTGCACTCCAGCAGCCCGGTTGACAGGCAGGTAGAGATCCGGATTGTACTGGACGGTTACTTCCAGCTGCTCAACTGGAACCGGCCACCGGACAGCCAGCAGGGAGATATGCAGACCTGGGAGGATAACCTCATTACACTTCTCGAACATATGTTGAGTAAGAGAATATTTCCCATTACTCATTAACCTCAATTTTTTTCATTTATGATTTTCTTCTGTGGAGCACAAATTAAGGTATTTTGAGTCTCAGCATCGCCAACATTATCAATTTTCATTTTTGGGTGATCCCTTGAATGCACCAGTATTCCCTAATTGAATTATTCAGCCTTAGAAGATGCCTAATTTCAGCCTAATTCGAACTAAAACTGCATTGCATGGATCCTTTGTAGAGAAAGCAATCCCAGAATGCCTTGCAACAAGCACAGTGAACAAGTTTATCCAAGATGGCCGAATTGGTAATAGAAATGTTGATTAAAATAAGTATTTAATTTTGTTCAAATAGATTATTTTAACCAATAGTTGTGTATTTTTGTGTTTATTTGGTTATCATGCTACTACCTTAGCAGCATGTTAATGGCCCTTTTCACACATACAGTCTTTACCGGTAAATTACCGGTAAATTACTGTTAAGAGATCATGTGTGAACTCGATCTTTTCAAAAATACTGGTAAATTCGATGTCTCTGGGCAAAAAGCAGCTGCATGAATGTGAACATTTGACACAAAAATGAAAACATCAACAAAAACAACTCAGTCATCAATTGGTTAGTTCTTACTAGTCTTTGAGTTTTAAGTTTGATCTCTTTTCATTTGAAGCATCCAGTATTCTATAGTGGGTGGTTCCCATTTCATGATATTTCATTTTAAAGGGGGCATCGGATGAAATGTTCACTTTTTTTAGCTTTTTTTGCATTTAGTTAGGTTTCTGGCGTGTCTGCTAGATCAGAAAAGCTAAAAAGAAAACACGCAGCCAGTTCATTTTGCGCTGTCTGAGTCTGAGTCATCAAGTGAGCTGTTTCAGTTTGCAGCCAGTTTCTACATGGATTGCTGGCTATTTGAATAAGACCACCTCCGAGCCATATACGGATATATTCACTTGTCTTGTGTCGACATGCCCCACGGAAGAGGTGTTGTTTTACATGATCATTGAGGTAATGGCCATTTCATGCCGACCCTAAAGAATCATACCAACATGTGGAAAATGGTCATCCGATGTCCCCTTTAACGAAATAGTTCACCCAATAATGAACATTCTGTCATCATTTACTCACCCTCATGTTCTTCCAGACCGACATTACTTGCTTTTGTGGAACACAAAAGACAATACTGAGAATCCATAACTGTTAGGATGCTGCCTTAGGCACCGATGAGACACAACATGTTTTTCAGGTTTGAAAACGCGAGGCGCACTGCACTGCCTTTTTTTGGTTGACTCCTTTTAATTTAGAAAAGAGCAGAGCGCTTTGTTTTTTTTTTTATGTTGCTAGGCAACCACCAAATCAGCTGTCCTGTCAGTCTGATCAAGGATTATAGCGCAAGTGCTCTAAAATATTTGGGTTGCTCTTAAGTAAACTGCCATATAAGCAGAAACGTACCCAGACCGACATTACTTGCTTTTGTGGAACACAAAAGACAATACTGAGAATCCATAACTGTTAGGATGCTGCCTTAGGCACCGATGAGACACAACATGTTTTTCAGGTTTGAAAACGCGAGGCGCACCGCCTTTTTTTGGTTGACTCCTTTTAATTTAGAAAAGAGCAGAGCGCTTTGTTTTTTTTTATGTTGCTAGGCAACCACCAAATCAGCTGTCCTGTCAGTCTGATCAAGGATTATAGTGCAAGTGCTCTAAAATATTTGGGTTGCTCTTAAGTAAACTGCCATATAAGCAGAAACGTAAAAAATACAGCTCCGGGTAACCCTCGACAACCACCACAAGTTTCTCCTCCATCATTGCGGTCTCTGGACGTTCCAAGCAACTGTAAACTTCCGTCACCACAACGGAAGAGCCTGCCTCTCCATTAATTCATTTGGACAATGAAAAAAATCAAATAAAAGTGAATGATGTCGAGCACTTTTCTGCTCAGAGTTGATTTTTTTTTCAAAAATGCGATGCGCAGCAGGCGGCTAAAACGCAAGGCGCATAAACAGCACCCAAAACACTCACTGCCAATAGAAAACATTTTTAAAAAGCGCCTCTCGCTGCGTTCTGTCTGATCGGGGCCTTAGAAAGCAGTTGCTAAGTTTCAGTACATTACAATATATCCTAAACTCTAAACATTAAGGATCATCACCCTATTGGCACTCACTGAACCTCACTGAACAGAAACCAGTCATCGCCCATAAGTCAGGCCACACAAACAAATACCCTATTAATCCGCTTCATAAACTTCAGCTGCTCAAAGAAAGGCAGTTTGAGCCCGAACCCTTTAATTTAACATTCATATATGAGTATGAAGAAAGTGCATTGTCACAATTTCCTTTAAACACTTTTTTGCCTTCACTAGTTCAATTATAATTTACATTAAATGGTCCTGCAGTGTGACAAAATCATTTTTGAAATACAAATATTCCAGGTCTCTCAATTAATATTAAGTCATAAAATTGCACACATTACAATTATAAAACAAGTAGAAAAATGCTGCTTGAATAGTTAGTTGGAGTGTATGTCACATCAACTTCCCAGAAGTATTTCATGTAATCGGCAAGTAATATGATATTATGTCATGATTATGTCATAACTGTTGGCATCTTGCAATAAAAAAAATGTAAAATCAACACAACAATGTTGTATCATACATGGTGAATTGCAGAGCTTCTGATTCTAGATCTTTAACCCAGACCACTGTGTATGATATGTTTAATGTTGTTTTTAAACATTTATAATGTATTTATGGTGAACTTCCACCCCTTTTCCAGAAGTTAATTGTAGCCAGTTCTCTGGAAACAATTTGAATTGAGAAATTGCAAAAGGACACAAAATATTTGGTTGCATTGAATTTCTTCTACCGTGAGTAATGCTGATGTCCCAGCACTGTGTATTTAAGTGCCTAAAACTGGCACAGTTTTATCTCTCCAGAAGGCGCAGGTTAAAAAGACTGAATGTTCTGGTGTTTTTGCCCTGCAGATGCTATCCCAGAGATCCTGCAGTGTTCAGACCGGCCGGTGTTGCAGGCTATCTTTCTCAACAACAACTGTTTCGAGCACATCCTCCGCCTCATCCAGAACAGCAAGGTCAGAACGATACCTTCTTAAAGCCTCTGAGATATCTGCAGCAGCGCTTCACATTTCCAGCCCTGAGGATTCAAATCAGTCTCATGGTTGAAATGTGGCAGACTGCTGATGTTTGGCCTGAAAGATAACAAGCAGACTACTGAACGCGGGTTGACTAATCTGAACCACAGATTGGCCATGGTTCAATCTAGAGGTTGCTTTATTTTTTTAAGTTTTTTTGTCATTTCTCAAGTAAAAAAATATGATATTTTAAAATTATTAAAATCATTTTTACATAAGATACCAGATATATCCCTACTCAGTAAACGTTCCCACTGAAGGATGTCAGTAGGGATTTGAAGCATTTCTTTTAAATACATTTCATCAGCTGAATAAAAAGAAAAAAACTGAAAAAGTAAAAACTGTCAGGGTAGTGCAACTGTCCTAATATCAAAAGCCTCAATATGTTTAATGAATTTCAGCATTTTAATAAGTTATTTTTCAAGCAGTAAATATTTGAAAAACATTTGTCAGCCAAATCAATGTCAGGTGGTGCAACCACCATGCAGAAAAAACAGCCACACAACAGGGCATATCAACTTTCCCAAAAGTACCATTTTGTATCCGTGTTATTTTAGTATCACTTATATATTATTATAGTTTTTATATGAATATTTTCATTTGAATTGAATTTTTAGTCATTTTTATATTAGTACATTTTTTTAACGTTTTTTTTTTAATGTATCTAAATTTTTTTTATTTAATTCAGTAATTTTAGTACTTCCCTTAAACATATTTCAGTTACCAAGGCAACATTTCTAATTTTCATTTCATTATTTAATACGTATATTTTATTTAAAATATATTTCAATTAACATACGAAGCAGTTCTTTCACTTACATTTTGTGAATAGACCAAAAAGGAAAAGCTTAAAAATGTAGCAAAAAAAAAAAGTCCTACAACTATCCTAATATCAAAAGCCTCAATAAGTTTTATTTTCAAGTAATTTGGCATAATTATTTGAAAAATAAAAAAATTGTCTAATCAAAGTTGGTGCAACCAACATGCAGAAAAAACAGGAAATTATATCACAGAGAGGATCCCTGCAGACAGAAATATCAGATAGTTGTGTGACCTCACTACACGTTTGCTCACAGAGGCTGAAGTGGAGCAGGTACTTTCCCTTCATCGCTGATCAGTGTGCCGTTCGTCAGCAGGAAACCCACCCTTCACTTGACTGACACAAACACAGACACACAACTGCTGACTGAGCAACATTCGATTCTGCATAACAAGCTCTATGTAAACATGCAGTGCTGTCTAAGGGAATATACAATACCAAAACATCTGCATGTGTCGTTGCATGTGGCAGTTTGTGACACAGTTGACTTAAATGCAACGAAAAATGAGGAACCTTAAAACATTATGCTGTTGTTATTGTACCATGGTAGTTGGATATGACATGGTGGTACTATCGTGTTCTAATGGTAGTTGATGGATTACATCAATCAGCAATATTTTAGGGGAAAACTGGCATCAGACTGGCTATAATGTCATGTAAAATGATCTAAATGAGCTCTTTTGAGAACTTTTTTTTATCACAATTTGAAACCAAATTAAATTATGCATGCATATATGAATGTCAAAAATAAACGCATTATTTTTGACATTCATATATGCATGCATAATTTTATTTTAATTCTAAAAAATTAAAATGTTAAATATTTTTTGTATTTTTAAGATATTATTATTATTATTATTATTGTTATTATTGAACCTACACATATTGCATGATTTTTTAAAAAGCAGAATGGATCAAATCTGAAAAGAATTTGCAAACTGCTTTTTAAAATAGTTTTAGTTGGAGTAGAACATGTCACACCACAGGGCATGTCAATTTTCCCAAAAGTATTCAGTGTCAACTACCTTAACATATAGTAACATACTTATAGTTTGTATTAGAATTTTGAATTAGATTTTATAATTATATGTTCAGCTTTCATTCTAATTTTTCATTCTTTTTTATGTGCTTTTGTCATTTTATTTGTTTATTCATATATATTTCTAAATAGTTGTAATTTATTTTTATTTCAATTTTAGTTCATTTTATTTCAGTTAATAATTTTAGTACTTCACTTCAACTTTATTCAGTTAGTTGCCAAGGCAACATTTCTAATTTATGATTTTTTTTTTGTCTAATATTTGTTTTGTTTTACTTCAGCTTTATTTTAAATAACAAATGTTTTTAATAGTTTTAGTAAATGATACCAACACTGTTGTATATAAATATAGAGATCACATAGTACTGTGAAATTACCATTTGATATCATGGTACCATTTCAGTACATTTTTAAAGGTTTATGCAGTGTCAGTACACAGAGTTGGAGGGTGAGGATCCTGCTTGTGGTGGTTTAGTGTGTGTGTGTGTCACCTTGCATGTTGTCTTGCAGTGATCTAGATTTTAGCATGTCTAGTGTATCTGTGGTGCTGTAGGTGTATTTGGTGTGTGTTTCATTTGGTGGTCTTTGGTGGGATATTTGTGGTGGAGTGGTGGTAAATATTTCAAGGTTAAAAGAAAAATCGGTTTTACTGTTGCATGTTTTAATCTCTTTAATTTAATTTTTTAACATTAACTTGTATTCAGTTTGTTTTTAACAGAATCTTGCACTTCACGGAGGAATGTTCAGAATTTATAGATATCTCCTTGCATGCATCTCTCTGAAACGGTTTTATTAAAAGCAATATTTCACACAAAAATGTTCACACGACTGATCAAACGTTTGAGGTCGGTAAGATTTTTTTTTTTTTTTTTTATGTTTTTGAAAGAAGTCTCTTATGCTCACCAAGGCTGCATTTATTTGATCAAACATACAGTAAAAACAATGATAGTATGAAATATTCAATCATTTAAAATAATTGTTATATATTAAAATGTAATTTATTTCCTTTGTTGGCAATGCAGAATTGTTAGCATCCATTACTACAACCTTCAATATCTCATGATCTTTCAGAAATCATTCTAATATGCTGATTTAGTGCTCAAGAAACATTTCTGACTATTATAAGGAAAAATATGTAATATAAAAGTCTGTCACTTTTGATCAATTAAATGCATGCCTGCTGAATAAAAGAAAAATCAAATGTTTAAATGGTAGCGTATACATCACTATTTACTCACCTTAATGTAATTCCAAACCCATAATTTGCTGTTATTTTCTGTGGAAAACAAAAGGAGAGATTCTGAAGAATCTTCATTCAGCTCTTACAACAATATTTATAGTGACCTTATCTGTCAAGCTCTAAAATGGACGAAAAACACCATAAATGCAGAATGAAAGTATAGCCTGTAAGTCTTCTGAAGCCATATGATAGCTTCGTTTGAGTAACAGACCAAAGCATTTGTCATTGTTCACGGACAATTCACTGAAGCTTTGAAAGCTCATTTATGTCCGTGTTAAATTCAGAAATTTCAGACAAAACGGCATTGGTTCTTCAAAAAATTCTCATATGGGCTTGGAAATACATGAGTATTAACAGAATATTTATTCTTGGGTGAACTAATCATTTAATCCATGAGAATGTGAATATGAACTAAATGTCGTGTGTATTTTGCATATGTGTGTGTAGGTCTGGGAAAAGGGCTCTGACTGCATCACAGTACACGCCATTCGAGTTCTCACCGCCATTATGAGCAACTCGCCCTCTGCCAAGGTATGACATGTCATCGACTCATGTCTTACACCTCCTCTCCTCTCGCTCCTTATGTATGTTTTTTCTGAAACGTCAGCTTGCAGACGTCTCTTGTCTTATCAGCATGATAAGTCAAAGTGCTTGCATATGATAAATGTGCCCCTTATGCATGTGTGGTTAATCTTATCAGCACATTTGATGTGGTTCTGCAAAACCAGGTCACACATGGCGACATTACAACATGCGCTTCCTCCTTTATTTTATGGGACAGTTATGTGTCAGGTCCAAAAGTATCATAATCCCATATCCTGTTTTTTATATATACTGTATATATATACCAATATACATGTCATGGTATAGTTCCCCTTCGGGAACTCGAGCTGCGTCGGAAAACGCTAGGGGAACGCCTTCAGCGATACCAAGCTCTGAATCATATGTGTAATCAGTCGAACGATGGGCGAGACGTCCGCGGCGGGTGACGTCATGACCAGGAAGCTTTAACGCTACTTCTGTATGTAAATGCCCTTGTTTTTATTGGCTAACCTTTTTGCTGTTGGGTCAAGTATACAGTAGTTTGTGCCACCCTGTTCTTCAATAACACCCTCTTTGCAAAGCAAACATTATACTGTGGCACAACTGTGAAGATTTATGGCTATGTTTTTGCAACCTAGTTTCAATAAATATTCTGGGTGGCCTTGCATTGTGAAAGCTGTTTACATAGAAGACTGGACTTTCTCATTTAAATTAAATTTGAAGCAAAATCCTGTTTTCATGATATCCCACTTTTTTTCATGTGAAAACATTTCTGCTTTGTTTAGTACCTTTTGTGTTTTGGTTTATTTTGGGGAACAGGGTGGTAAGAGCACTCATTGTATTCTGTGCTTGTTCAATTGTAATGTAACAGTTAATTAGTAGCTAAGCCAACATTTCTAAACTAAAGTTGAAAAACCTCTAAATTACTAAATTACAAATTACTAAAACTACAAATAACTAAAATAAATCTGAAATAAAAAAATAAATACTATGTAGACATTTATAATAAATAAAACACAAAACAAAACATTTCTTAAACTGAAGAAAATGTAAAATATAAAAAACTAAACAAATGTTAGTTGCCAAGCCAACATTTAAACCTAATTAATTGAAGTTTATATACTAAAATGATTAAAACTAAAACTGAAAATAACTCAAATAAAAATACTAAAATACTAAAAACTAAGTAGACATATAAAAAATACAATAAAATAAAACATTTAATTATAAAACAAAACAATTACTAAAATAAATAACTTAAAATAATATTAAAATGAAAATGTAAAATATAAAAACAAAAAAACGAATTCTAAATATTAATAAATATATTAATACTATAAAACTACATTAATGGTACTGAAATAACTCTGAATTTCATACTACACATATGCATACTTATAAAAACGTGCTTATTAATGCTCAAGAAGTAAGTTTTTAATCAAATGCAGTAAGTTGTGTAACTATGAATTATTTCAGGATCATGACTGAGTCACTATGATAAAAAAAAAACTTGTATCCTCATAGCACCACTTTTTGGTTTGTCCTTCCCCTTTCTCCATGTTTTCCTCTCAGGCTATTGAAGGAGAGCATTCCCAGACCATGCAGTTGGGCATCAGTAATGAACAGCCTTTGCTCCTGCTGCTGCAGTGGTTGCCTGACCTGGGCTCTCGCTCTCTGCAGCTGCTGGTGTCCCAGTGGCTGGCGGCCGTGTGTCGAGGAACTCTGTCCTGCCGCACTGTAGCCGTTGAAGCAGACTTTGTAGGCGCTCTGCTGGAGGTGCTGTCTGAACCCCCAGTGCGGCTCGACCGGCAGTGCGCAGACGCCCTCTTGGGTTTGCTTCAAGACTTGGGATCTCTTTCTCTACGGCCCTGTGAACTGAAGAGTCTGCTGAAGCTCTTGTGGACTGAGCCCGGTGCACCCCCTCACCCGTACTGCGGGCGCGTTGTAAGGGTGCTTTCTGCCATGGCCGCCCGTGGAGAGGGTGGGTGCAGCGCCTTGCAGTATTTTGACCTTATGCCCCCTATGGCGGGTATTATGGTGCCAGCTATACAGCGCTGGTCAGGAAGCGCATTTGCTTTCCATGCCTGGTTGTGCCTCAACACAGACTTTCCTCCACCCCAGCACCACTACTCAGAATCCCACCTGACAAACCCGGATAATATGGTTCGAATGGCTAAGGGACCACGCAGGAAACAGCTTTACAGGTTTGTTCGAGAATACTCATGATAGATGGGTGTTATAATAAAAATGTCATCATCTGCTGTATCATTTCTTGTAATTGTTTTAGCCTTTTTGATATATATACATTCTTCAGTGTCACATGATCCTTTAAAAATCATTGTAATATTTGGTGCTCGTTATTTTTATTATCATAGTTGAAAATGGTTGTGTTAATGCAGATGACCAGATGATTATTAAACGATTTAAGTATTAGTTATATTAAATTATATATTTTAAGTCAATTGTTTTAAATGCTATAGGTGATTTTAGGCATCACATCATTATTATGTATTATGTTAATGTGGGTGTAAATATGCATATTGTGCATCTGCAGTATTTGCTCATTTTCATTTATCTGTAATCAGTAATTGCAACTTGCAAGCTTAACATTAACAACGATTTTACTGCTGAAAAGATTATCAGAGATGACATTAAAGTATTTGTCTTAACACTCATGACTGCAGTTCAACATCGCTATGATTTTAACCAGCATTTTGCAATTTTTCTATATTTACAATTGTTGCTTAGTTTTATATTGCAAATATAATGATAGTGAGTAAGTGGTGAATATTCAATATATTGCCCAGGCCTGCTTGTTACAAAATGCTTGTACATATTGTATATCTGCATGAGTTTAGTACATTAATATTAATAGTAATCTAGAACTAGCGTTTTTAACAGCACGCTGTATTGGTGACCAAGAGTACTTGTTTTATGTGTACTTATACCTTTAAAAGCTGTATTGTGTCCTGTGTGTAGTTTCTTCACAGCAAGCGGAACTGGCTTTGAAGCGTTTTTCACCACAGAAGAAGTTTTGGTGGTGGCAGTATGTACTAAAAAGGAGTACATGGCTGTTTCCCTGCCAGAACACCCATTGAATGATTGTGCCTGGGTTAGTGACCTTACAGACAATTTTCACACATATTACCATAAACAGTTTAAGGAAGAGAAAACAGCACATGTGTGAAAATAAATATTAGAAAAAGTACATGTATTTTTGTTTTACTACTGAATTAGCTTTAGCTTGACTAGCCTCTTTAGCATGATTTCAATTAAACCCTTCCAAAACTTAACCATGGTTTTATTATAGTAAAAGTGTAGTAACCATGTGTGACGAGTGGGGGCGGGGCCGAGAGCCGTGGGAACGGAGCGAGGCCGGTGGAGTAATTGATAATGAGCGACACCTGCACCACTCACCGGTCTCGAGTCCCACGGAGGAGCTCCAGAAGGATAAAAAGAGGAGTGACGACAGTAAAAGAGGAGAGAAGTCCAGGCCTGGTCCTCTCCCATCTTTCACTGTCGTTTCACTTTGTGTCCCCTGGGCCTGGCTTGCTTATTTGTTATATAATAACAAAAAAAACTAAAGTTATATTTATGGCAACTGTAAAGGCCATTTCACACCAAAAATGACAATAATAAGCCTCAGGCTGAAGGAAGTGCCTCTGCCTCTGCACCTCACTCAAAGTTTCTCTCAACATGGAGACAGGAGACGTGTCAGTGAATAAATGGGAAAACAAAGTATCTTGCATTATTTGTTTGAAAAAGTAATTCAGATATTTCGTTGTAAATTTACAAGTAATGCATTACTTTACTAGTTACTTGAAAAATGTAATCTGATTATGTGACTCACATTACTTGTGATGCTTTACCCCCAACACTGATCATATCATTGTAAGATTTCATTTCTGTATTCAAAGTCTTATTCTTACCCTTCTTTTCTTCACTCTAGCACTCAGTTGCCATTGTTCACATTCCTGGCCGTCGGCCCTTTGGACAGAACGTGGTCACTGTTTATGTGGACGGAGTGCAGTGTAAAACAGCACCCCTGCGCTTTCCTTCTCTGAATGAGGTGAATAAATGTTATTGCCTGCAGTAGTTTGATTTATTATGAACATGTTTTGCTTCATTGGTCTGTTTGACTATCAATGTTTCAGCCATTCACTTCCTGCTGCATTGGATCAGCTGGTCACCGGACCACTACCACCATGACTTCCTCTCCGACCCTGCACAACCCGTCCCACTCGCCCTCCGAGATGGCATTTGCAGCTCATGCTGGGCCACCCACCCTTGCACGTTCCCAGTCCTTCCCTGCATCCTTTGCAGCAGCCGCAGGGGGGAGGCCAGGTGTGAGTCGGGACAGTCTAGTTCACACCATCCCGGCAGGGCTACAGGACACTGCGTGGGGCTCTCCTTCATCACTGGGTGGCCTTTTAGCCACAGTGTTCATCTGCCATGAAGCTCTGCAGCCTGCTCAGGCACGAGCCCTGTTCACTGCAGGTATAAATGAGACATCCACCGCATTCATAATGCAGAAATTCACCTTTCCAACCACAAAGAAACAAGCGTTAAAGAAGGTCTATCTCTGTTTCACTTGGCAGGTCCCAATAATGTTTCTCTGTTCAAAGCTGATGGTGAACCTTCAGAAGTCAACAGCAAACTAGTTTTATACTATACACCACAGGTAATCATCTGACAAACTGTTCTGTATATTTATGATTCTTCAAAAGTCTAAAGGTCTTATTAAAGATATATTATATTCAAAAGTCAAAATAACTATAGAATAAATACTGATAAATATGTCCAGATAAATATAGATTAAATATTATTTAAACTTTAAATATCTACATTCTAGGCCTTTAAGAGCCAGATCTGTTTGGATTTGTCCCCCAACCATCTTTACGATGGCAGGCTGACTGGTCACAGAGTGGTGAACTGGGACATCAAGGTGTGTATGCATCACTGAGCTTCATTATCTTTTAAGATCAGAATGATTCATCTTGTTCTGACATCAGTACAGCCTTTTGTGTTTGCCAGTGTTGGGAAATGTGTGTATTCAACACATACTTCTAGAACAAAACTCGTGAGCTCATAGATCCCTGCAGGAGCAGTAAATGCTAATTGTGTTTTATTATCTTGTCTTGTGTGTAGGATGTGCTGAGCTCTGTAGGTGGGATGGGAGCTCTCCTGCCCCTGCTGGAGCAGGTGTGTTTACTGGATCAGGGCGAGACTGTAGGTCAGGAGACTTCAGATCTTCTCGGGCCAGAGCTCACGTCCTCCAGGGGCCCTGCCGGCATGCTGCTGCCACTGGGGAAGTCATCTGGTCAGTACTCTCTCAGAGCTGTGACACATTGGTGGCAACATATCCAATTCACTATCCTCTCTCTTTTCCCATAATTCATGTCCATGTAGACATCAAATAAAAAGCATTAAATGATTGGAATCCTGCATACATCACCAGAAAGAAGTCTGACGTTTTCACCAGAAGACTGCGTTGTGACACTATGATTTGATTTGGCATTACAAGGTCAAAAATAAATAAATAAATGAAATGCATGCATGGATGAATCATTCCATAACATTACATAGCAGTTATATTAAATGTTTCGCTACTTCCTTAGCTGGGTCTTTCATTGTTAAAACTGACAATTCACGCTGAAATGTACTCTCTGCTTCTGTGGACCGTAAACCCTGCCTACTTTGATTTGGTTGGCCATCTCAATCATTGAACATTTCACAAATTATATACATGTATATATATGAAGAGTTCAGATGCAAAAGCCTCTAAGTGCCATCTGAAATTTTCTTCTAAAATTAGCATTTTTATCAGTCCCCTATGTTTAGGTTCAGTAATTTTACTCTAATGGCAAAGTATAGGTCCTTTTCTATGCCATTAAAGTGAAATAACTTAACATAAATATAGGAGCCTAATAAAAATGCTAATTTTAGAAGAAAGTTTCAGACAGCACTTAGAGGCTTTTGCATCTGAACTCTTCATACATCCTAAAATAAGCTTACTTTTAAAATGAAAATTAAGGTTATTATCGTAATAAACTAAGACTAAAACAAAGCCTTTAGAAAAATATAACAATTACGTTTAAAAAATACTTTTAAGATGTCAAGACATTTTTCATTTTCATTTAGTTCAAGTTGAAGTACTAAATCAACTACAACTAAATAAACTAGAACTGAAACTAGAGCTAAAAACAACCTTTATATAGACATTTAAAAAAAAATGACACCCATAAACCACACAAGCCTTAAAGGGGTCATATGATACGATTACAATTTTTCCTTTCTCTTTGAAGTGTTACAAGCTCTTGGTGCAGAAGAAGATCTGTAAAGTTGCAAAGACTAAAGTCTCAAATACAAAGAGATATTCTTTATAAAAGTTAAGAGTCAACCACTCCAAATGTTCACGCAAAGAAAGAAGGCATAACTTTAATTCTTGCTGTTGCCTCCGCTGCCATGTTGTGGAGTCGCTGTGTGTTTCGTTGTAAAAGAGAAACTACTTTGTTTGGCCTTTCAAAAGAGGACACAACTAGAAATCAGTGGTTAAGTTGTATTTACAACACTGTTCCAGAACAGTTCAACCCAAATATTCAGATGTGTGCTGCGCATTTTATGGAGGATGAGGACTGTTTCCTGAACCAGTAGCCTACAATGCGTCTGTGGCACAAAGGCTGTTTCTGTAAAGTTGAGCAGTTCCAACTTTGCAAGGACAGTCTGGCACTTCTGACTCACAGCCTGCAAGTACGTTTTTTATATTTAAATAATTTGCCACTGATGATTCAAACGTGAGTTTTGAGCAGTGTAGAGTAGGTTTGTTGTTTCTCCGAGCCTGATACGCAACACAGCGCGTAAAAAGACAGTATAAGTCAATATAATCAGTAATTATGTCACCCACTGTGTTATATTTGAACCATATTTAATGTAATATCAGTAAGATAGTAAGTTCTTAAATAAATAATGTCAAGATATGAGACTTATAATCCATTATAAATTAAGTGGATTTAACGTGGTGTTTATTGCGTGTTATAAATAATCAAACTCATAAAAGTTATAACCACAAATAAGTTTTATAATGTATTATAATTGTCATTATGAATATTTATGAGATGAAACAACATATACTTTTTTATAATGCATTATGCATTCATTATAATGCCTTAAGAATACTCTTATAATGTGTTATAAATATGGGCTTCATAGAAAGTGTCACCGTTTTTTGTTTTTTTTCCACAGTCTGCAGAGTTACAGCATGCAACATGAAACATTAACAGATTGTTATGTGGCTTTTTAGAGCTGCTTAAAACATTGTACATTTTTCTGTAATTGCAGTATGAGTCACCATTGATGCTTTTTGAGTATGCTATTTGATTTTGCTGTGGGGTAGTGATTCATAAAGTTGTGTTTGAGTCTTCATACATGTGTTTATATGCTTGTGTAGAAGGCTGCAGGGAGTTTGTGTATTTCGTGTTCTGCAGTTGAACTTTGGTTGTTGATTTCCCATGTAGTGCCATTGCAGCAATTTGTCAATGTTACATTTCACTAATGTGGAACTGATTGCTGCTTTGTTTGTGTGTGTGTTAGAGGGCCGTTTAGGGAAGAACAGTGTAGCAGCGTTTTTGCTGATGATTAAGAACATGCTGCGCAACCATCCAGCCAATCAGGAGAGTCTGCTTCAGTGCCACGGGCCGCCCATCATCGGAGCCATGCTCGGCAAGGTACACACACACACACACACACACTGGTGAATAGAGAGTGCATCTGGAGGTCTATCAGGACATATTGGTGTATGTGACTTCAAGGCGAAGCATCCTGTTAGGAAACACTTGTGTTAACAATCCCATGATATTGCACAATAGACACACAATCACAGTTTTTCATGCTTTAAGGTTTTATCTGGTGCCAGGAATCTTTAAAGAAATTAATAAACAAGGTTTGAGTGTCTGAAGTAAACGCATTCAAATCAAGAGTTCACACGTTTATCACAACACCGTGTTCCAACATCTGTGACATTTAACACATAATCAGTATGAAAGTTTCAAATCTGTAGGAGCTGCATAGTTGTCATTACACTAGCGATTCGATCGGATGCTAGGCATGTGATATTAAGCAGATCATTTGATGACATCTATGGGCGTCTCTGTTACAGCAGCTGTTCAGAGAAGCAGATGCTGATATATTTCTGATCTGCTGTAAGATCTTTAGGCTTAGGAGTGTCTTTTATTGTTCCACAAAATTAAAAGTCATATCTGATCTGCTTTTGATGTACTGTGATTTGACAGGCTTGTAAAGTCCTTTGAAGAGAGTTTCTTGGGTTTGAGAGATGGAAAGCACACACACTCATAGTTACATACAGTGGGGCAAAAAAGTATTTAGTCAGCCACCAATTGTGCAAGTTCTCCCACTTAAAAAGATGAGAGAGGCCTGTAATTTTCATCATAGGTATACCTCAACTATGAGAGACAAAATGAGAAAAAAAAATCCAGAAAATCACATTGTAGGATTTTTAAAGAATTAATTGGTAAAGTCCTCGGTAAAATAAGTATTTGGTCACCTACAAACAAGCAAGAGTTCTGGCTCTCACAGACCTGTAACTTCTTATTTAAGAGGCTCCTCTGTCCTCCACTCATTACCTGTATTAATGGCATCTGTTTGATTTTTGCCCCACTGTAAGTATACCATCCTCAGGCTTAAAACATGGGCTGTCAATTAAATGCATTTATGTAGGACAAGTATTACATTTAATTCAATTAAAATTATACTTGTATTCCGTTATATTTATATGAATAGCTTAGAAAATTTTAATTCATTTTTACACTATCATTCAAAGTTTGGGGTCTGTAAGATGTTTTCTCTTATGCTGACCATTGCTGCATTTATTTGATGAAAAATACAATGAAACAGTAATATTGTGTGTGTGTGTGTGTGTGTGTGTGTGTGTGTGTGAGATTAATACATAAGCGATTAATTTGATCATTATATCATTTAAACAATTTGATTATTTTTGTAATTGATTGATGGCTTTTATAACTACAGAAACACTTCATCTCCTGTCTCGCATTCTTTTTCTCCTCCAGGTTCCCAGCAGTATGATGGACATGAGTGTACTGATGGCCTGTCAGTTCCTGCTCAAGCAGGTGTCCAACGAGGGCAACAACGCCCTCCTATCACAGCTGTACCAGTACCTGCTCTTTGACTTCAGGATCTGGAGCCACAGCCACTTTGCAGTCTGCCTGGGTAAACAACCAATACACATCACAATGGCATTTACTATTGGGTCATTCCGTGTCAAATCAACCACATTTTCTGAAATTTCCCGGCTCAAATGTTTGATTTTGTTAATATTTTTTTTCTGTAGTAAGACAAATATAAATAGTGATGAAAGGCAAAATATTAGATGTCACAGATGTATATTTACTGAGTAATCCACTATTTTGTAGAGAGGGGTCAAAATGACAATTTTCACTGAGATTTGGAGCCAATTTACAGGGGTGTAAAAATGACTTTAGAAAGCTGCCGGCATCATTATTTTATTTTTACACAGAGATCGGTAGGTGTCAGCTGTATGTAAAGTATCCCACATTTGTTTTTAACCTCTGAAAATTTGAACAATTCACCAATTTACTCATGGAGCTGCATTTAGATCTCCATATCTCTGGGATTGAACCATCGAGGGCCTTTAAAATGAAGATACCAAAAGGAAAGTTTGTTAAGAAGCAGAATCTAAAAGGATATTAAGATATCTTTAATACTTATTGAGTTAAAGGCGTGCAAACTTGAGGCAAAAAAAGTGCTTTTTGCCATTTTTGAACTGTCACCGTTGGCATATAATGAAACAAAGATTGCTAAAGTCAACAGATTTTACTAAAAGACCTACAGATCTATGTGTAAAAATAAAATAATGACGCTGCCAGCTTTCTAAAGTCATTTTTACACCCCTCTAATTTGGCTCCAGGTGAAACTTGTCATTTTGACCCCCCCTCTACAAAATAGTGGATTACTCATTAAATATACATCTGTGACATTTAATATTTTGCCTTTCATCACTATATATATTTGTCTTTCTACAGAAAAAATATTTTAAAAATCGAAAATTTGAGCCAGGGACCTCTAGTTGAGTTGACATGGAATGACGCAATTGCTTTTTTGGTATTCAACTTATTTGCATTAAATGCAAAAAATAAAAATCAGGTCCTAAAGGAATAGTTTACCCAAAATGACAAATTTGTTCTTACCTGATTAATTAATTCCAAACCCTATTATCTGTATGTCTGTATTTGTGTTGGTTTGCAGGTCATGTGCAGTACCTAACCACTGTCATCAATGAAGGCAAGCTGAAGACTCGTAAGAGGTATGGTGTTCAATACATCCTGGACTCGATTCGGACACACTACAGGTGCGGTCAGAACTGAAGAGTTTTTGCTGGTTGAAATTTAAATATTGAGTGTGGATATAAGATGTTTATAAGTGCCCTATTTGTGTCCACAGTGTGGAGAAGGATGGCAGTCCTCTGTCTGATGAGAGGCAGACGGTGCAGATCTCTCTTTTTGCTCTGCTGAAGGACCTTCTGAAATCTCCCACTGCTGAGGAGCTGCACAGTTTACTAGCCTACGCTGCTATAGTGCAAGACGAGCAACAGGTGACCCACACAAACACAAACCTGCTCTGTTCCAAAACCTAGTGTGTTGCTTCTGAGATATTAAAACATTGGTTGATTGACTTCCTGAAAAGAGTAAATAGTGTGTCTTTTTGTGTCAGATCAGTGTTTCTTTGAGTATCCCAACCAGCCTGATACATTGGCTCAACCAATGGTGTTATTCTGGGGCAGGACTATCTGTTTGCTCAACCAATGGAAGTTGGAATAAAAAATATTTTTTTAATACATTAACCCTGGAAGGCAGAAAGGGGTCAATTGACACAATAGTATGTGATTTGTGGATTAATTTAAATTAATAAATAATAGTGATAATAATACATACATATAATTCTGTTATTATATGTATTCCTCTTAAATCTTGTATGTGATTCTCAGTAATGTCAATTTCATAGGTTTTTGGGTTCATAAAAAATAGCATTTTTGTATGACCACCACTGGTTTTCATAAAGGTGGTCAAACTTACTTATATACATTTCCCATTACATTTTGATTCACTGTGGTATTTGTTTGTCATACATTTTGTCAACAATAATTGCCTGGCATTCCATGGAATACACAACAATTTGATTTGTCAATGTGTCATTTGCAGATTGTGTGTTGGAAAAAGGCCCTGTTTACACCTAAGTTAAGTTAAGTTGAGATTTTGTCGATTACCAGTGGACAATGCTAAATACAGGTGTAAACAGGGTCTGAAACGTTTTGAGCTTGACCACTTTCAACCACTTCCAGATGTAGTCAAAAATGGAAGACAGAGGAAGTCGACCGGATTTTTTTTTTGTCGTGTAGACAGTCATGGGGTCAAATGCGTTCAAATAGCCACTAAAGACAGGCTCCTCTCTGAATACAGACCTCATTCGTAAACAGTATGGGTTGTGTTGTGAACAGTGTTGGGTAAGTTACTCAAAAAAAGTAATTGATTACAAATTACTTATTACTGCTTGAAAATTGTAATTTGATTACATTACTGATTACTGCATGTAAAAAGTAATCAGATTACTAATTACTTTACTTTCAAGTTACTTTGAAAACATATCAAACCTAAAAAAAATACACTTCAAAGTGAAAATTGTAGTTCATTCAGTAATTTAATATTGACTGAAAAATATTACAAAGGTATGAAAACAGCAACTTGACTTACAGATTTAATACATTTCTAAAACTTAACGTTCTTAGTATAAACCTGCCTAACAATAAAAAATGTATCTTTAAATGTGCCTATACAGTGTTTTATATACAACATTGCTTGCTGAGTGTAGGGTATGTGTATGCTGGCTTAACTGTGTTTAACTGTGTGAGCATTAAAGACAGAAAAAATCTTAATAAATTGAAAACGGTTCTGATAACATTTGAAAACAGTATTGATGAACATACATTGCATATTTGAATGCTAAAAATGAATGTTGCTTCTTTGTTTATGGAGGTGATGTGGGCGTTTACTCACGTGGATGATTACCGTATGAATAGTGCGTGCTGCGCGGAGGCGTGATCACATTACAGATAATGAGTTCAGACAGGAAAGATTGGACCTCGCGTTGGTTTTATACGGATTACTTCATCAGAGAATATTTGTTTTGGATAAGAACAAAAAAAATAAAAATAAAAGTAGACACTTCAAGCTTTCCATAGATATGTTTCTCATGTCTGTGTGTGAAGTATTCACTGAGTTTGGGTTCATTTTAGTGACGCGTTTCAGAAAGAAGTTTGCGGAGACTGAGACGGCAGAAAGCGCACCCCGTTTGTTTTCTTTATTTTACAAAAGCACAATATTTTGTTGATATTGTGAGTGTACACAAATAAAAGTAGACCCTTCACAGATTAAAATTATGTATTACACTTATAAATATATACGATCAAAAATGGCGGAGCGTTTTAAGTTCTTTTCGCTGTTATCAGGAAAAAATGCAAGTGATCGCGTCGACGCCTCCGTCAAACTGACGCTGCTGTGCAAAACATGATTTTAAAAGGCATATAATAATTTTTTTTTCTTAACTACTTTTGTAACGTAAGTAATGTAATTATATTGACTTTAGTAACTGTAATCAAAGTACACAAATTTAAAATGTAATGCATTACTTTACTGCGTTACAGGAAAAAGTTAAATACCCAACTCTGGTTGTGAAGCACGTTAGTTAGACAGGATTTACATTTTGCCTGCTGAAAGCGTAAGCTTGGATTGAAGGCAAAAATTGTTAAAAGCACGATGTACTCTTAACGGTCCTGATTCTAACACAAATCCACAGCTTTTAGCATAGTTTTGCGGCTGTCGGAGCAGAAACAAAAGCTGCTGCTCTCCATATCATTTTCCATTGTCTCCATTCGAGTTCATATGTAAATTGTGCAAGGATATTTTGCAATATTATATCGAAAGATCAGAAAAGGCCCATACTTACAAGGAATTCAGGAAAGTGGTCAAAAATGGGTAAAAGAGATGGATTAAAACAGCAGGTGTAAAGTGGAATGTATCTTCCTCGTCTACTTGTGATCTGATTGACCAAAATGTATCTTAATACCAGGTGTAAACAGAGCAAAAAAAGGCATTATTGAACCTTTTAAACATTTGTGTATAATCAAATTTAATATGATTTTATTACACTGAAGAGTAAAGAGAAACCGCATACCTTGTCTTTGAAGGAACCTTTTTCAGTTCATGTGTTGTTTCTTATTATGGTGATATTCTGGTAAGGTTAGGGTTCGCTAATTGCTGAACGAATGTTCTCCCTCTCTGTAGATGATCAGTATTCTGGATGTGTTACACACTGTATTGAGGAGTTCTCCTTCTCCACGGGAGCAGGCTGTGACGGTTCTTCTGGAGCGAGGGGTGGAGCAGCTCTACTGTCTGCTACTCAAAACCAACTATGGGGACGAGGCTCGTGAGAGATTATTCAGGGTGAGAACAAACTTGCACTTTAAATGGTGACACTGCAGTGAGGCATGTGTTGAGATGAACTTTTGAAACCCAAACGGTGAGATCAGTATCTTTCAGAGTGATAGGAACTATCTCTCCTGCTCTGCTGCAGGTCTTGTATAAAGTCCTGAAGAGTGAACGTGTTCCTGAGCGCAGTAAAATGCGCATCAAACTCAAGGACTCCGGCTACCTTGGGCTGGTCTGCTCCTTTGAAGACGTCCCCATCACCATGGCGACTGTACGCTGTCTGTATGAGCAAGTGCTCGCCACAGGTAAACTGAAGAAAATGTGGATGGTAGTTTTCAACTTTACACTTCAGGTGTTGATTTGTCTGTTTTTTTTGTCTGTTTGGTGTAGATCCCACTCCGAATTTTAGAGACCTGTTGGCAGTGGCGTACCTGTCCCATCGCGCCGACCTCAGTGTCCGACTGGATATCTGTCGAAAGGTGAGTGACTGATGAAAAAACAGCTAAATCCAGCCAAAGCTGGTTGTCTAATCTTATCTGGTCTTTCAGACCGCTCATAGCTGGTTTAGCAAGTTTCAGAGAGGTTTTGACCACTTATTTAGCTGGCTTAGTTGGTCGGGCTGTGAGACGAGCTAAAACCAGCTAAGACTAGCCAACCAGCTTTAACCAGTATTAATGATAAGCTTATTTTATGGGGTGTTGTAGGTTTTCAGTGCTAATGGCTTGGAATGGCTTGCTTGGCTATAACAAGATATCAAGATAACAAGCTATGTTTTTGATCATGCATTACAAATGGATACCAAAAAGAGAACAAGCTCTTACAGAAAATGTAAATGAATGTCAAATCCCGCCTTCTGATGTGAAGCCAGTAATCAACAGATACATACTGGAGAAATGGCAAGCGGAATGGGAAGAATTTCAAAATAATAAACTTTTTGAAATAGATTCTGTTGTAGGAACAAGATATATTTATTCTTTTAAATCCAGGCATGACCAAGTTGTGTATACAAGGTGCCGTATTGAACTTACTAGATTAACTCATGGACATTTATTGATTGGTGAAGAAGCACCAAAATGTCAATATTGCAGGACTCACTTGACGGTGAAACATGTGCTTTTGGTCTGTCCAATATTTCATGTCATGAGACAAAGGTTATTATCAGGACAAACTCTTAAGGACTTGTTTTATAAGATGGACCCAGAAAAACTTGTACAATTTCTTTCAAAAGTAAATTTAAAGTATCTTTTATAGAAATGTATGTGTAATACTTTGATTTATAATTGTTTTTATTAATTTATTTGTGTTCTACTATATTTTTTATGTATAATCGTTGCCATGAAATAGCTGATGTGGCAATAAACTTAAATTAAACTGTAAACTGGATGCCAAAAAGGGATAAGATTGTGTTTTCAGTTAGCCTATGGTTAGCAAGCTTGCTAACAGTTTAGCCTACTACCTTAACATAGCGTTAACTGTGCCTTTTAGGTAGAGTCAGAAATATCATAATTATAACTTCTGAGTCACATATCGTACTTATGATTGGCAAACTCTAAAATTCTCGATGATACACAAGTTGTGACATTTGAAAGGGATGTGTCGATTTAGTGGAAACACTGATCTATAATATAGATTAATTACTCAAATAATTCACTCACCAGTTAAAGATTTGAATTAGTCTGATGAATCCTTCACTAATAAATCACTGCATCTGTCATTTTTAAAGAGTGTTTACTGATACAGCATCTCACTCACTACTAAACTGCAAGACATCATATCAATTTCACATGCCCAAACCAAAGTCAATCTCTCCGTTAACTCACATGCTGACAATACCATCTGACAATACAGAGTTCACTTGCTTTACCTCATAATACAGTCCATCTGACATTAACTTGCAAATGCGACATAATGACAATCTGAAGCAAGAGAAAACCCATTTCTAAGTGTACTATATGTTGTGACTTTCTTGGGATGGCCCTGATAGCACACGTACATCACAGAAACGTCTGTTTGACATCTGCAAGACATATTTTTAGAGTGTTTGCTCATCTGCAATGCATCTACAGGGCATTTTCTGTCAGATGTCAAATAGACGTTTAGAAAATGTCTTTAAGATGTTTATGATTTAGAATGCATGTAAAACTGACATCTTAAAGACGTCTATCAGATGTTTGTACACAACAGATGCTTTCCAGATTAATTGATCTTTAACAGACATCTTGCAGACGTATGTGTGCTCTCTGGGGGTTTATTCTCAGCTAAATGAGTAATTCTTAAATTAGTAAATTAACATTTCTCTCTCTTTCATCCCTGTAGCTCTTCCACTTGATTTACTCCAACGAGGAGTATGTGAAGCAGCTCGCGCGTCAGTCAGGCTGGCAGGATGTTCTCACCAAACTCTACATCAAAGAATCGTACAAGTCTCGTGCTCTCAGCCAATCCAATTCTTTATCCAGTCCCACCACCTCTCTGGAGCCCGTTCTTCCCAGACCCGTCTTCCGTCGTGAGGACAGCGTAATGGAGGACACCCGGCAGAACGTCTACATTTCCCTCACCGCCCGCCATGAAGAGGAGTACGAGGAGGAAGAAGGAGAAGCTCAGGATGTGTCGGAGGGCTACTCTGACCTCTCCCAGTCTCCTCCGTCAACCGGACAGCTCAAGAATGATTCCCTCCACTTCAAACCATTTGACTCTGGAGAACAAAGCAGTTATTCGTCCACCCTGTCCAACACTGTGGACAATCCATCATCATCCCGTTTGCTGGAGGAAGAGGAAAACATGTATCAGCCGCTCTCACCCTTCAGCTCACCCTTTGAGCTGGAATTAAGCCTTCAGAAAGGGCCCCAGACACCTGTGGGGAGCCAGCCAGAGACCCCCTCTCCTCTGGAACACAGTAAGAGCTTCCCAGGCATGAGACCACGCAAGAGCTCCAGTCTGTCCAATGTTCTGGACGACACAAGCTACAGCACCGAACCTCCTACAGACACCATCTCTAACACATCTAACCCACAGGTACATGGTGAACATTTGCTAACTTGTTGTCACTTACTCATTCAGTGGACTGTATTAGTAAAGTAATGTAAGGAATAGTGAATAAAGGTTGAGGGAGTGATTTCAGAATACAGCTCCTGAGACAAGATAACTACAGACACCGAGGGTGTAATTAAAGACAAATGAGGTCAAAGGTCAAAAAACAAGTACAAGTAAACAATGTTACTTGTTCATTGTTCAAAAATAGTTGGTTGGAAACCCAGCAACTGAAGGATGACCCTGCTGGAAAAAAAACAGACAAGCTAGACCAAAATAATCCAACTAATACCAACAAACAAGCCAGGCTAGTTTAAGCAGTTTTTTTCTAATGTTTTTACCTTTTTCACCTAATGTGCTGACAGCCATTTAGCAACTCCAGAGCAATGCTCTTGCGGCCACTTTAATATTTTATAGCACTGTATCAGTGGCTTTACATGAAACCAAATAATCCGTTAGTAATCAGATTGATGGCTCAAACAGATTGAAAAGCCTTCATGTAAACACCTTAATTTATCCAATTGAGTTTGATCTGAAATTTCTTTTGGATTAGAAGGAGTGGTGTAGACCTTTTCTAATCCAATCGAGAGTACATGTAAATGTACATGTGAGTACATTGAAAACTGAAACTGGAAAGTACTGCGCAAGTGCAGTGATGTAGAAATGGCGGAAAAAAACAGACAAGCTAGACCAAAATAATCCAACTAATACCAACAAACAAGCCAGGCTAGTTTAAGCAGTTTTTTTCTAATGTTTTTACCTTTTTCACCTAATGTGCTGACAGCCATTTAGCAACTGCAGAGCAATGCTCTTGCGGCCACTTTAATATTTTATAGCACTGTATCAGTGGCTTTACATGAAACCAAATAATCCGTTAGTAATCAGATTGATGGCTCAAACAGATTGAAAAGCCTTCATGTAAACACCTTAATTTATCCAATTGAGTTTGATCTGAAATTTCTTTTGGATTAGAAGGAGTGGTGTAGACCTTTTCTAATCCAATCGAGAGTACATGTAAATGTACATGTGAGTACATTGAAAACTGAAACTGGAAAGTACTGCGCAAGTGCAGTGATGTAGAAATGGCGTAATGGCGTACGATGTGTAGAACGAGCCATCGTTTTTGTAGAATTAAGTGTTATAAATGACTGTCATATTATTCTAAAGTTTTCCTTCCACTCATCGTCTGTGAACTGGAACAGAACAACATCCTATCAGTCCTCACTTTATATATAAAGTATACTCTCATCCACAGATGGCTTGTTTTATTAAGTCTGCTCTTTAAAACAAAGTAAAGAAGCAATGGGAAGAGGATAGTATGTGCAAACAGTGGGAAACTGTGTATTCGCGCAGTGTGCGCATGTCAAGAGATCAAATCTGATATTGAAGCGCACATCAACCCGATCACTTTAGTGAGCATTCATGTAAACACTACATTCAGCCTCATTTTAAAAGTGTGATTTCTAGACCTGGAAAAGTAAATTAATAAAATATAATCTAATAAACCCTATGGACAGTTTTATAAAGAATATACATTTCTCTACTTATGCCAAACCCTAAAATTGGGCAGAAATTGTAAGTATTTCTTTTTTTATTTAAAAAAAATCCTTGTTTAGTAAATCGCAAACAACTGGAAAGGGGGCCCTCAACAATGGAGTCAAAGAGGTTGAGAACCACTTCTCTGAGTTCTACTTTGTGATTACTTTAATAAGTTTGATCGCTGAAGACTTGCCTCTCTGTCTCCCCCATTAGGCTCCCGAGGAGGAGTTGTGTAATTTGCTGACGAACATTGTATTCTCTGTGCTGTGGAGTGGCACTGAGGGGTCTGAAGATGTGATATGGAGAGAAAGGGGTCAGGTGTTCTCTGTCCTCACCAAGCTTGGCTCATCCTGTCAGCTGGTGCGGCCACCTGATGACATCAAACGCAGGTCAGAAGCTTAAAACTTTAATGCTCTAAAACTTTCTGATCCAGACATAGTGACAGCTCATAAAAAAATTATAAATAAGGCACTGCGTTAACAATTCCTCTGTCCCAGAGAGATCAAATGAAGACTGACAGTTTTTTCAGACTGATTGAACCTTGTAGATTAACGTTTTGAACGAACTTTGAACCATTTCCTAACCCTCCTGAAGTATTTTCATGTGTAGCTTGTTGGGAGAAGTGCTAGTGACTTTAAAGTTTCAGTGAAACCGAAGAAAATGGGCATATTTCTATTTTATGCCCTGTGAAGCTTATTTTAAATTGTAACTGACCTCCATTATGAGAAAACCTACTGCATTTGAAATCCAGTAGAGATCAGTGAGCTGAGACTGGAGGGAAGTACCGTACATGAAAGTGTTGTATGGATTCCTTTGGTTCAGATGAGGGCAGGGTGGGGATCTCTGGAGGGCAGACGTTCTTTGCGCTACTGGGCTGTTGCTTTTCTTTGGTGTGGCTCCTGCATTGCATCACCATAGAGCTTGTTTTTACTTTAAGTCATAGGGTGTGCCTGTCTGATGACTTGTTCAAGACATTGTATTCTGTTTGTTTTGCTGCTGTGAACAAATATCATAAGCTGGCGGGGGTGTTACCGATGCATTATGTGTCTTTTGTATGTTGTAGTCTGTTGGAGATGATGCTGGAGTCGTCTCTGTCAGATTTGAGGGACTCTCAGGGCGTGTCTCTGCCCCATGTGCCTTCTTTGCTCCGCCTCCTCAGACTGCTCCAGGACTTCCTATTCGCAGAGGGCACTGACAATCAAACACTATGGAGTGAGAAGGTGGGGAATGGATGGATATATTCTCATTCTGATTTTATAACTTACACTTATTCCAAAGCCAAAAGAGTTTGAAACAGGAAGTTGGAAGAAATCCGGATTTAGGATGTTAGGCTGTTCACAATGCATGCAAATACAACTTGATATGTTAGCGAAAATAAGTGTTTTTGGAAACTAAAAACACAAAAATATTGCACACTTTGTATGATGTTACTCACCACATCCCAAATGATCTAATTAATTAATTAATTAATTTTAAAAACCCCATCTGAAATCTGATCTGACTGTTGAGACCTTTGATGCTGATTTTTAAAAAAAAATCTGATTTTAATCATATTTCAATGATATATGGATGCGGTTTGGTTCTGTTGTTGTTGCTGTTATTGCAAAAATTACTTTTCAAAAGTTTGGGGTTGGTTAGATTTTTCATATTTTTGAAAGAAGTTTCATATGCTCACCAAGGCTGCGTTAATTTGCTAAATAAATACAGTGATATTGTGAAATATTATCATAATTTGAAATAACTTTCTATTTGAATATTTTTTTTAATGCAATTTATTCCTGTGATGGCAAAGTTGAAATTTCAGCAGCCATTACTCCAGTCTTCAGTCACATGATCCTTCAGAAATCATTCTAATATGCTGATTTGTTGCTCAAGAAACATTCTTATTATTAGCAGTGTTGAAAATAGGTGTGATATATACAGGTGTATATATAAAAAAAATTTCAAGATTCTTTGTTAAATACAAAGTTCAAAAGAACAGCATTTATTTGAAATAGATATATTTTGTAACATTAAAAATGTATTTACAGTCATATTTGATCAGTTTAATGAATCCTTGCTAAATAAAAGTATTAATTACTAATTAAGTAAATAAAAAAATTACCACATTGAACAGTAGTGTATAATATAGAAATTCATAACTATAAGGACACTGTCTCTCAAACATATAAACTCATATGTACTGTTTATAATATATGTAATATAAGTTATAAGTGTACACATTTTCTTTTAGGGAAACTTTATTCTGACGTTTTATTGTATACAATGTGTTTATTTGTGAATGAGTATAAGAGTGTGTCTATATTTGTGGCAGATTTTTGAGGGGGTGGTGAATCTGTTGGATAGGCTGCAGGCATGGCACACGACCCCTGGGTCAGCGGGGTCCTCTGAGCTCAAAGAGATGTCTCTGATCGGCCTGCGTATCATCACTGGGTACATTCAGCAGCAGCAGAACCCACAGGTACACACATACAGTATACACCCATCTTAAAAGGGATTCCAGGGTTGTGTTCTAAAATTCTCGCTCTGACATTTACAAATGTGTTTTTATTAGCTAATTATGTGGGATAAACTTATTATGACTGTGTCAAACAAAACTAAAAATCACTCGTGGTGTTGAAATTGGACGCTAAGTATACTCCCTTGTGCAAGTGGAGCATTGAAAAACACACACATGGTTATGTTCAGGATTATTAGATATGACATTGGGCTATAAAGAGAGTTTTTGTAAATAGCTTCAGTTCATTCCATTGGAGAGCAGATGTCCATATATGGGCATATGTGTGTTTTTTTTATCGTTCTCCTCCAGACTCACTCAAACCCATCCCACACTCAAATTAGATCATATCAACTGACTGAAGAACTGACAGGCGGTCTGGGAAAACATGTGCCTGCCTCAAGGCTCTTTACAGTCTGTTGTTCAAGAGCATGTTTGTTTCCTATAGGAAGGTTGTCTGTCTATACAGCACTAAGCTTGTAATTATTTTCTTTAGAGCAGAGTGCTGTAATAATAAAAGTTGAAGTCTTAATTTGCACAGACCATGTACCATGCAAAAGAAGTGTCCAATTTATTCCCACATAAATTACAAATAGTTATCTGACATAAATATTTCTTACTGGCCATTAAACTTTACTATGCATGTTTATTTTAAAAATTAATTATCTAGCTAATTTTACATATATTGGGTATTAGGCAAGTATAATTAACCTAATTAACAAAATAAACCAACTTAAATGCATCCTTAAAACCATAAATTAATGTGAGCTTGTAAAAAAAAAAGCTTCTGTGCTCAGGGGAACTCTATAATAAGCACAGACAGACAAGTGCCACTTCAGAAATAGCCCTAGACAAAGACAAGAGGCAAACATGAGTAGATAAACAAGACTAACAAGAGGACACAGCACAGGTGTGCATGATCAATAGAAGAAACCCTTTTTAAATTTTGAACACTGTGCATTCAGAAAGGAATAATAGCTTACTGTTTACTGCATCCTGTGCCTTATCAAATAATAAAAAAACATGTAGAGTCAAGTAGGCGATTATTCTATTAATGTAGTATATTATAGTACAATGTATTATATAGTACAGTGGTGTGCGATGGTGTTCTAAAATCCACTTTTTTTTATTTTTTTATTTATCAAATGTAAATTAATGTCCCAGTCACATTTTCTTGGTTAAACATTACTTACACTATCAGAAAAAGAAAAAGAAGAAAGAAAAAAACAGTTATATTTTATATTTTTACATGAACAATATAATCAATCAACATGTAGAGTCAAGTAGGCGATTATTCTATTAATGTAGTATATTATAGTACAATGTATTATATAGTACAGTGGTGTGCGATGGTGTTCTAAAATCCACTTTTTTTTTATTTATCAAATGTAAATGAATGTCCCAGTCACATTTTCTTGGTTAAACATTACTTACACTATCAGAAAAAGAAAAAGAAGAAAGAAAAAAACAGTTATATTTTATATTTTTACATGAACAATATAATCAATCATTTATTCATTAAAGCCAAGTATGAATCTCATCAAGTTAGGGTTCTTAAGCATTTTACATTTATTCTAAAATAATAACTCAAGGCAGTAACAATTTAAACAATATGTTTTATTTGTGAACTTATGTTCAGCTATTCTTTTTAATAGTTAACTTTTAACTATTTTTGAATTATTCGGTTCATCAGTCATCAAAGCTCAGTAAATATTGGTCACGACACAGAGATCTACTTTCAATTTCACCAAGCTGATTACTCACTGAAAACTCCCACAGATCATGTTTTCATACCATTTTAAGTCTTATTTTGATGTAACAAAGTGATTTTATCTAAGTGTGAGAGCTGTTTGCTTATTTTTTAAATTAGTCTTCGATTAACGCCAATATACTGTTCATTCAGACTGTTCACGGATGCGCACAAGAGGCGCATTTATCACATGAACCAATCACAGCCGATCATAACCAGTCATATCCAATCATATCGCGATGGAGGCATTGTCTCCTCTCACGTGATTTTCCCCCATTAATTCTCAATTACCCCCCACCAAACTCAGCGCACGCTTTAGGGGGTCTGTTGAAACTCAATGAGCTCAGGGGAGACGAGCGAGACCCGGACTCCTGCTGTAACGCTGTAACTTATACTTTATTTTTGTATTACAAATCTTTTTCTCATCCAATATTTGGAGGAGGCACTGCCTCCCTTGCCTCCTTGCCTCCAACGCCCCTGATATAGTATACTATATTATACTGCATCTGGTAAAACTAAAACTATTAAAATAGATTTTGTTCAATTAAATATAGTTAAACATATTAACAAAATAAAAAATAGTAGATAAAAAAAAAACTTAACCAGAATTAGAAATGTTGCCTTGACAACTAACTGAAGTAAAATAATTTTGAAATTACTGAATCTAAAACAGAAATAAAATGTAATTAAAGCTGAGTAGAAATATTATTTTAAAAGTTCTATAAAAATAAAAATGGCAAAAGGACATAATTAATAAGTTGTAATTAAAGAAATATTATTTTAAAAGTTCTATAAAAATAAAAATGGCAAAAGGACATAATTAATAAGTACTATAACAGTATAACAGTATAATGTATAATACTAAAATAACAGTGATTTTGCACACTTAAACTGTATACTATATACTGTAAGTATAGTATAGTACAGCATATTGTATCCATTCAAATGGTTTATTATACACTGTGCAGTATGTAGTCAACATTAAGCTATTATTCAGTTTTTCTACTATGCTATACTATTTTATACTTGCAGTATATAATATAGTATGAAAATATAATTTTTGTACTATGCCTGTGCTTCACATTAAAAACATATTTAATGAACACTTTAAAAAAATTCTGTTATAATTAAAGATTATTTGAGTATGTTTTACAAGAAAATAAAATTGTAATTATTTGTGAAATTTTCTAGCAGTTTCTGAGTGAAAATTGTTTCAAAGTAATTATTTTAGTGTTGTATATACTTTATGGTATACTGTATATATCACATAAAAATTATTTACCTGGCAATATGTTATAAGCTATCAATCCATTGGTATAGTATAGTATAGTGTATACTGCATGAATACAGTAACTATTTTAATGCTATTTTAAAGATATTCAGATATCAATGCACATATCAACATAAAAGTCTGAAAAAGAAAAAGAAGAAAGAAAAAAACAGTTATATTTTATATTTTTACATGAACAATATAATCAATCATTTATTCATTAAAGCCAAGTATGAATCTCATCAAGTTAGGGTTCTTAAGCATTTTACATTTATTCTAAAATAATAACTCAAGGCAGTAACAATTTAAACAATATGTTTTATTTGTGAACTTATGTTCAGCTATTCTTTTTAATAGTTAACTTTTAACTATTTTTGAATTATTCGGTTCATCAGTCATCAAAGCTCAGTAAATATTGGTCACGACACAGAGATCTACTTTCAATTTCACCAAGCTGATTACTCACTGAAAACTCCCACAGATCATGTTTTCATACCATTTTAAGTCTTATTTTGATGTAACAAAGTGATTTTATCTAAGTGTGAGAGCTGTTTGCTTATTTTTTAAATTAGTCTTCGATTAACGCCAATATATTGTTCATTCAGACTGTTCACGGATGCGCACAAGAGGCGCATTTATCACATGAACCAATCACAGCCGATCATAACCAGTCATATCCAATCATATCGCGATGGAGGCATTGTCTCCTCTCACGTGATTTTCCCCCATTAATTCTCAATTACCCCCCACCAAACTCAGCGCACGCTTTAGGGGGTCTGTTGAAACTCAATGAGCTCAGGGGAGACGAGCGAGACCCGGACTCCTGCTGTAACTTTACCTGTAATACTTTATTTTTGTATTACAAATCTTTTTCTCATCCAATATTTGGAGGAGGCACTGCCTCCCTTGCCTCCTCGGAGAAAACGCCCCTGATATAGTATACTATATTATACTGCATCTGGTAAAACTAAAACTATTAAAATAGATTTTGTTCAATTAAATATAGTTAAACATATTAACAAAATAAAAAATAGTAGATAAAAAAAAAACTTAACCAGAATTAGAAATGTTGCCTTGACAACTAACTGAAGTAAAATAATTTTGAAATTACTGAATCTAAAACAGAAATAAAATGTAATTAAAGCTGAGTAGAAATATTATTTTAAAAGTTCTATAAAAATAAAAATGGCAAAAGGACATAATTAATAAGTACTATAACAGTCTATTTATATAATGTATAATACTAAAATAACAGTGATTTTGCACACTTAAACTGTATACTATATACTGTAAGTATAGTATAGTACAGCATATTGTATCCATTCAAATGGTTTATTATACACTGTGCAGTATGTAGTCAACATTAAGCTATTATTCAGTTTTTCTACTATGCTATACTATTTTATACTTGCAGTATATAATATAGTATGAAAATATAATTTTTGTACTATGCCTGTGCTTCACATTAAAAACATATTTAATGAACACTTTAAAAAAATTCTGTTATAATTAAAGATTATTTGAGTATGTTTTACAAGAAAATAAAATTGTAATTATTTGTGAAATTTTCTAGCAGTTTCTGAGTGAAAATTGTTTCAAAGTAATTATTTTAGTGTTGTATATACTTTATGGTATACTGTATATATCACATAAAAATTATTTACCTGGCAATATGTTATAAGCTATCAATCCATTGGTATAGTATAGTATAGTGTATACTGCATGAATACAGTAACTATTTTAATGCTATTTTAAAGATATTCAGATATCAATGCACATATCAACATAAAAGTCTAATATGAAAAAAAATAAGACAAACACAAATAACACCAAATCCATGACAGTAATATGTAATATCTGCTGCTTTCTCTCTCTCTCTCTTTCTCTCTCTCTCTCTCTCTCAGGTGTGTGAGATGGCGTGTTTAAAGCTTCATAGCCTGCTGCAAACTGTGTTAAGTCTGTCCTGGGAGGAGGTGTGTTTTCTTCTGGGTCGTCTTGGTGCACCTCTTTGGCCTGCAAACTCTGGCTCAGACCCGGGTGCCGAGGCTTTGCTGAGCCCGCTGGTGCCCATCGTCCGAGCGCTTTTGGACCAGCATGCGGATCGCACCACCCTGCAGAAGATGCTCCCCAACCTGCCCGCCACCAACGGCAGCCCCTCCTTCGCCCAGGATCTCCAGAACTACTGCAGCAGTGCTGAGTGGCAGCAGTTCTACCAGAACCACGTCAGTACAGCCCGATCTCCCTCTCACACACACATACACACACACACACACACAGACACTTCGCTTAGAATACACTCGGTTAGACTGTTTACCTTACGATAAGCTGGCAGCTTCTCCGCCACAGCCGTGTCAGTATATGTTACCACAAACCTGTTTTGTTTTACCTTTTTTGGATGCAGAATGTCAGAAATAAGTCTCTCAGCGCTCATTCCCAGTCAAACAAGAGATAAGCTCATCATTTCACACAAAGCTCAGTGCTGAAGAATTATACACACATTTTTTCTTTGAAACAACCCATTTCTTTATTCACATCTGTAGCATACTATATATAATCAACTTGGATTCATTTAAGTTTACCCAAAGCTGATTTCAGCATTGGTCCAGCATCAGAGCTGTAGACTCCTCTCTCGAAAACTCAGCAGACGTGTGTTTGTTTTAGCGTGAGGTTTGTCACTTTGACGGTTTATCCGCATCCATTGTAGTGATGAACTCTTTATTTAGTATTTTGTTCATCCAGAGCCAAAACAAGACAGAAAAATCCTGATTTATTCCCTTCATCTCACAAATCCGAAACAAACCATGCGTTTAAATTAAACAGACATCATGCCAGAGTGACCTGGAGATGATTTATGAAGGCTGGCATGTGACAATGTGTGCTTATAAATCTACCCTGTTTGTATATACAAATCACACGGTACATTACCATGCCTTGAATCGGGAAGTAAACCAGGTTTTACACTATGCCCAAACATATAACTAGGTTAGGGGAGGTGAAGAGAGAGAGAGAGAAAGAGTGTTTGTTCAGCATTACAGTATAGCTTTAGTAGCTAAAGTAAATATAATATATTTTCAGTATACATGAAAGCAGCAAAAGGTCAACAGCAGCAATATGATAGAAGGCACGAATAACTCTAATTATTTTAATGATATTATAAATGTATACAATTTAAAGTATTTATTATTTTAATGTTTGTAAATTACATTTATAATATAATAAAAAATATTTTATTCAAGTTATTGCATTGTATGCACAATATTGTATTTATATTGTAATATTGTATTACATTATTTTTACTTTTTATATATTAATTTCAAATACATTGTGTACATTTAGAAATAATTAAAATAATTATGTTATTTGAATTACTTTATGCATTCATTATCACTAATATTATACAAATAAAACTATTATTTTAAACTATATTATTTTTTTGTTTATTAATATTAATTGTAATTAAATAAATTGTGTTTAAAAATGTTATTAGTAATAATTATTATTAAATAATTAATATAAATTTGTATATATCTCAAACAAATCTACAAAATTGAAATTGTTCCTTATCCTAACTGTTGGCTGTTTATATTTGATTTGTACAAACACTTTAATATATATTTTTGAAGCGTGGTTGTGTTAATTATTATTTTAAAAATGTTATTAGTAATAATTATTATTAAATAATTAATATAAATTTGTATATATCTCAAACAAATCTACAAAATTGAAATTGTTCCTTATCCTAACTGTTGGCTGTTTATATTTGATTTGTACAAACACTTTAATATATATTTTTGAAGCGTGGTCACAGATGTGCATGTATTGGCTGCTTTAGGGTAACTTCAAACATGACTCATTCAATCAAATATTATTGCAAGAAATACCCATGTTTAAAAAATGTAAATGTTTTATAATGTATGCCTGTAGGTGGGACCCACGATGCAGCAGTATGAACTAGACACTTTTGGGAAGAGTCATGACCTGATGTCCAACTTTTGGAATTCCTGCTTTGATGACCTCATGAGCACTGCACAGAGGAGAGACAAGGACCGTTCCGACTGCAAAGCCAAGTTTCAGGTATCTATTCACCCCATTTATTCAGATACAGAGGGAATATGTTGGGCTGGTAAACTTAAGATTGCTGTTCAGTTCCCACATTGACCAGACCGTGAGTTTCTACTGCTTGGGATACTGGGATTACTCGGTACACATCCCAAACCCCAACCAAACCATGTGTTTCTGATAGATGAGCTAATAACATGGACCGTTTGTGTTCTTCTGTTTACAGGAGCTCATTATTGACCCGTACCTAAAACGGGTGCGCACAGAGAACAGCCGCTACCACAGCCTGCAGAAGATGAGTAACAGCCAGCAGGGGGTGGTGGGGGGACACTGGAAATCACTGCGCAGGTTACTGAGCAGTGAGAGAGGAGCCTGGGCACTCAGGTCTGCATGCAGTAAAACGTTCTGATTTATAGTGAATATTATGCATTGACGTATTTCATGTCATTTATCTCTCATTTATTTTGCACCATTATCACTATCAGAATAAATAAATAAATACATACAGTACATTAATACATTTTATATATACAGTGGGTATGGAAAGTATTCAGACCCCCTTAAATTTTTCACTCTTTGTTATATTGCAGCCATTTGCTAAAATCATTTAAGTTAATTTTTTTCCTCATTAATGTACACACAGCACCCCATGTTGACAGAAAAACACAGAATTGTTGACATTTTTTAAGATTTATTAATAAAGAAAAACTGAAATATCACATGGTCTTAAGTATTCAGACCCTTTGCTCAGTATTTAGTAGAAGCACCCTTTTGATCGAATACAGCCATGAGTCTTTTTGGGAAAGATGCAACAAGTTTTTCACACCTGGATTTGGGGATCCTCTGCCATTCCTCCTTGCAGATCCTCTCCAGTTCTGTCAGGTTGGATGGTAAACGTTGGTGGACAGCCATTTTTAGGTCTCTACAGAGATGCTCAATTGGGTTTAAGTCAGGGCTCTAGCTGGGCCATTCAAGAACAGTCACAGAGTTGTTGTGAAGCCACTCCTTCGTTATTTTAGCTGTGTGCTTAGGGTCATTATTAGTGGTGTCAAAATTAGCGTGTTAATGCAGGCGATTAATCTTTTCGGTTTAACGCGTTAAAAATGCTTTTTCTCTTGACAAGAACTGCATTTATTCAGTCGCAGAACGACTGAGAACGGGAGACGTTTCAGACGCGCGCTCTTCTTCACTTCAGCATCAAACGAGTGCGGAAACGGTACTGTGCTCAAAGTGCATGCTCTTCAATTGCACGCACAAAGGCGCCGGCGCGCGCTGTAGCCTGTATCCTTTCATATCAAAGTGCGAAATAAACTACGTGCATGCAATGTCGTGGTCATAGTTAAGTCATGAAGTTACCAAAAATGCGATTAAAGCTGCCTTAAAACTGTGCATGCATGTAATATATTTTATATGGGTCACATTTAAGAACATGTCTCTGAAATTATTTTCAAAACTGCCCAGCACTGTCTCACTCGTCTAACACACCCGATTTAACTCGTCAGCTCATTAATAGATGCAACAAGTTTTTCACACCTGGATTTGGGGATCCTCTGCCATTCCTCCTTGCAGATCCTCTCCAGTTCTGTCAGGTTGGATGGTAAACGTTGGTGGACAGCCATTTTGAGGTCTCTCCAGAGATGCTCAATTGGGTTTAAGTCAGGGCTCTGGCTGGGCCATTCAAGAACAGTCACAGACTTGTTGTGAAGCCACTCCTTCGTTAGTTATGGTTAGTTATTCATATTTCACATGAGCTGATTCGTTACACAGTCGTCCTGTCCCTGCAGCTGAAAAACACCCCACAGCATGATGCTGCCACCACCATGCTTCACTGTTCGGACTGTATTGGACAGGTGATGAGCAGTGCCTGGTTTTCTCCACACATACCGCTTAGAATTAAGGCCAAAAAGTTCTATCTTGGCCTCATCCGACCAGAGAATCTTATTTCTCACCATCTCACAACTCCATGCGGGCTTTCATGTGTCTTGCACTGAGGAGAGCCTTCCGTCGGGCCACTCTGCCATAAAACCCCGACTGGTGGAGGGCTGCAGTGATGGTTGACTTTCTACAACTTTCTCCCATCTCCCGACTGCATCTCTGGAGCTCAGCCACAGTGATCTTTGGGTTCTTAACAAGCACGGAAATGGTATTGTGCTCGCAGCGCGTGCTCTTCAATTGCACGCACAAAGGCGCCGGCGCGCGCTGTAGCCTGTATCATTTCATATCAAAGCACGAAATAAACTGTGCATGCAATGCCGTGGTCAGTTAAGTCATGAAGTTATCAAAAATGCGATTAAAGCTGCCTTAAAACTGTGCATGCATGTAATATATTTTATATGGGTCACATTTAAGAACATGTTTCTGAAATGGTTTTCAAAACTGTCCTGGAGCAGCCCAGCACTGTCTCACTCATCTAGCACACCCGATTTAACTAGTCAGATCATTAATAGAGACTTTAAGACCTGAAGTGGGTCAGAAAAGGTAAAAAGAGTTGATGCGTGTCACATCCGCTTCACGTTCAGTAAGCAGCTCTTAAAGAAATAACAGCCAAAACAACCTAATAACCAGCTGCTGTGTCTATTAATCAAAGGACAAAGGCGAAAAAAAGAGGAAAAAATATTTTTTATAGCTTTAAGGATTCATCTATATTTAAAGGGGTCCTATTATGCTTTTTCACTTTTTCAGCTTTAGCTAGTCTGTAATGTTGCTGTTTGAGCATAAAAAAGATCTGCAAAGTTACAAAGCTCAAAATCCACTTCAAAAGGAGATATTTTATTTAACAGAAATCACTTTTCAAAAACTACAACGAACGACTCGTTTGGACTACAA